TGTTGCTATTAGTGATTAAATATATTTAAACAATAAACACTCGATTCTTACAGTTTACAGTCTATGTTGATTATTAAAATCTACACCATATTGTAAGACTGGTGTAGATGTTGATTATTAACTTCTATACCAGTCTGACAATAGACTTCAGATTCGAAAACTGTATTTTCTAAAACGCCCTCAATTACGTATCATAATATGAAGGTACCTTGTACCATCAAAAGGTTTATATAATTAAAATAAAATATTTAACCGTATATAAAGCTACACGACCCTACATTATTTATGCTTCCCAAAAACCAACAGTTACACATTCGTTTTTAAATACTGCGAATTACTCCTTCCCATTTGAAACTCTTTCGTTTCATGATTGTTCTAGATAAATTTCACCAGTTTATTCAATTTTACTTTCTTATTAGTTTTCACGTTTGTATAAGATTTTGACGTTTTTTCTTTCATTACAATTTCGAGATTTACGCAGTAAGCCATGCTAAAGTTTCATGATTTCAGACGTTAGTTATATTTTATAGTGAGAGCAAACGTTGTATAACAGATTTCAGATATTGCTCATACAGGATGATACTGAGGCAAGGTTTCACATTTGCTGCAATAAAAATACATTTACGTTCAGTTACTACATCGTTAGCAAAAAATATTGAAAAGAAGAAGTTTCTCTTTCGTTCACGTCTTCCTGAAACAAATGTGCAAAGTCCATTTGCTGATCCGTCACGTACGAGAGTGAGTTTGAATGAGTTTGTGAGTTTTGTGTGTATAAAAGATGTATATATGATTCACTTACTTATTTTTGCATATCATTCTATCATAAACTGTTTATTTGTATGCTGTTACTGTATTTAATTTACAGTCCGTACGATTTTAACCAGTCATTTTTGAAACATGGGAAGAAGTTTTCTCTCATAATTACAAAAAATTCTACTAAATTATCTGAATGTCTTAGGGCTACACTTTCTACCAGTACTGTGCAGTTTTCTATTCAAGTTCTTCATTTCTACTTTCTATCGGTTCCTAAATAAACTTTCTTTAATGAATGATTTTGTTGAAAAAAATTTCCGTCATAATATTGTGTGTATTTATCAAGTTTTGTTTTTATTCTGCAGTAATTCATGTTATAATGCGTTATATCTGAGGGTTAAATGAAATCTGCTGTTTGATATTTTATCAACTTTCAGGAATATATAGAAAAGATTTAAAGTTAATGCAAAATTTTTTAGGTGATACCTCGTCCGGATGTTATTATCGAAGTAAAAAGTCGAGAAGAAAATGCTGTTCCAGCTTTACCGAACTCGACTGGATTGCTTTCCTATTTTGGCAAGAAATTTCCTTTCTTTGGTTCATCTAAAGAGGTAATTTTGAATAAATATTCAATGAATATATTTCACTTTTAAATATTTAATCCACTGCTTTAAAGTTAATGTAATCCTAAACTATTGAGATATAACTCACAGAAAGTCATCAAATCATCAAAAATGACTGTACTTGCTCTATGCGATACTATTTTTCTTTATATAGTTTATATGAAAATGTACAATTAATGCAATGATTTTGAGCCATTCTTTCAGAAAAGCAGTTAATGATGGTTACTTATGGGAGATACGTTATTGCAAATATCTGGAATAAAAGAACTTTTTTCGAAGTTCATCTGTGCTTAAATGGAAAGTATGGCTATTATTATGGTATAAAATATTTCAGTAGAATTTAGGATATCCTCTATCAAGGTCATTTGTGCTGGCTCATGAGCGCATATTTCAATGGAATCTACATTTGAATTGCATTTTTACACGTATTTTATAATGTTTAATTTATTTTTGATTTTGTTCAAAATTCTTGAATATCTTGTTCAGCATTGTGCGTTTTTTTGTTCATGTGTTGGAAACTAATCATTTGTATAGGGCTTATTTGCTAACATTGTAGCTTATTTTTCTTCTATGTGTACCGCTTGTGCTTCATTTCAAGTCGAAATTGAATTCAATAAACTATGATAATTGTAGTTGTAATTTTGCAGTGAATAATGTTCATGTAATGCGGCTAAAATTTTTTTTTCAGTGAAACGAAAGTTTCGTTGGTTATAATATATAAATCAATGAACTGCTATAACAATCTAAAATCGATTACTGGAAGTGACGTTTTTTCACTGAGCGCACTAAATTAAACGCAAGTCATGCAACTTATTTTGCATAATTAGTAGGAATAAATAGCGAATGCATGAAGGGATTTTTCATTGTCACAAATTGCGCAAACATCGGAGACGTCGGTAAGCAAAGTTTACATTCTTGTTAATGAAGTACTTTTGGTAAGAGCTGCGCAAGTTCGTAAATTACTGGAATTATAACATTAAATTTATTTTCAATTGAAGGGATTTCGCTTATTTTGTTCTGACTGCTTGAACATCAACTTTTTTACGGTAGTTTGCAATTATGTCGTAGCTCAAGATAAATTCTTAAATTTTTTAGCTTAGAGCATTGCTAGGTTCTATTTCAGAGAAGTTTTTTGGTGGTGATGGAAAACATTAACGATTTAATTTTGCGACTACTAAATGTTGGTAGTGTGGATAAAGGTCTTACCAAAACAGTTCGTGAGTCAGAAATCTTATCACTTTGTCGTAAGTTTCCTTTAAGTGTAATGCTTCAAAAATTAACAAAAGATATTATTCATTACTAGTGGCATGCAGATTAGTAGATATTAAACATAGAACCGTTTTCAAGGTTAGTGATTATTGCGCAACTTTTTGATGTAAGAATCTCAATTACGTAAGTTTAATGTTGCATAATTGAATACCATGAGCAGTGAGTATAAAACTGATAATGATAATGATTAACAATAATGACTAAAATTTCAAAAATCTTTGAAAATTTAGATAAAGTACGAGAAATATTCATGGCCCAGTCATCACTAATAGAGATTGATCCTCCTGTTCGCATCTGTGGTGATACGCATGGTCAGTATGGTGATCTGCTGCGAATATTTAATCTTGGTGGCTTTCCTCCTGTATCCAATTACTTATTCCTTGGTGATTATGTTGATCGTGGACGGCAAAATTTAGAGACCATAATTTTACTTTTTTGCTACAAGGTTTAGCTTTGATATTAATTATGATTAATAGAGTAACATGCACTTACACGTTCATAAAGCTTATTTAGTGATTATGTGCCTAAATTTTTTTAAAATGCAATTATTATCTCTTCACTACTTGAAAAAAAATAAGGTTCAAATAATATTCGAGAAAGGTAATCTATCTTATTACAGCGATAGTGACTTTTCAAATAAGTTACAAAAAAGTGTCAAAGTTTATTTATTCAAACACTGAAATATATAAATTTGCAATTTGAAATATTTTGGCAAATAAAATGGTTTGCATGTTTTCATCTCAAATACGTAAACATTATTAAGTGTAGTGATAAATTCTAAACAAGTTAATAGAAATGAAACCAAAAAACGTTGCTTTAAAAATTTAATATAATCTTAAATAAAATTAGTAAAATTTATTATTTAATCATTAAGTTTCTATTGCTTAAAGCAATAGAAAATTTGACATTAATATATACAAGTCCCTCATGCAGGTCAAGTTTCCCAATAACTTTTTCTTACTCCGTGGAAATCATGAGTGTGCGAATGTAAATCGCGTATACGGATTTTATGAAGAATGTGTGCGACGTTTTAATTCAGTTCAAATTTGGCAAACATTCCAGGTTGTATAATTTTGTTCAAAATATATTGTAAATATTGAGCTGCTTACATTATACGAAATATATTTAATCTTTTGATAAAAGGAATTTGCTCAAAAAAAAATTTAATTTTCGGTCTGTCTTAAATTAATTAATTATATTATTGATCCCATCATCGTAAACGTGAGTCATCCATGACTGGTTACGTCAAATAAATGATCGATGAAGAGAATGTTTTATAATATCAAAATATTTATCTTTTTTATCTTCAGTGCAGTAACCTCAATAGTCTTCGATATTCTGTTCCAGGATTTGAACGAACAGTTAACAAATAATCTAAGTTTACATGCTATTTATTGAAGGATACTTTTCAATGTATGCCATTGTCAGCACTTGTTGGCGAGCGTATATTGTGCATGCACGGAGGGATATCACCAGAATTGAAAAGTATTCAGCAGTTACGTGAAATTAAGCGTCCAACGGATGCATCAGTGCCATCACTTGAGATGGATTTACTTTGGGCAGATCCAGTCATCGGCATTAGCGGTTTTCAAGCAAATTTGCGTGGGGCTTCAGTTGGTTTTGGTCCTGATATTCTAGCAACATTATGTAAACAACTCAATATTGATATGGTATATTTTTCAATCATTCATTATTTATTAATAAAATTAAAAAAGAATGGTTATTACTTTTTCCCTAAACATTAAACTAAATTTATATAAAAATTTGAAAATTTGCAAAATGTCCATAACTTCCAAATAAATTCTAGCACATCAAATCAAATGTAGTTCAATTATTAGTTATATAGGTTGAATCTTTCAATTTAAAATTGATGTGAATCTGAATGTAGTGCATTATATTTCTCATTCAATTACAGATAGCTCGAGCTCATCAGGTGGTGCAAGATGGATATGAATTTTTCGGTGCTCGAAAATGTGTCACAATTTTTTCTGCTCCACATTATTGTGGCCAATTTGATAACGCTGCAGCAATGATGTCAGTTGATCAGAATCTTGTCTGCTCATTTCAAATTTTAAGGCCAACATTAGGTCGTGCAGCAACTAAAATTGTGCCGACTTCTATGGGAAAATGTTGAAAATTTGTATCCTAAATGCATGTATCCAAAAAAATTGTATTTGAATGTGGATGTATACAGTCCAATAAAATTGATTTCAACCTAAATGTTTAAGTTTGAGGTATCATATAAACATTTTCATCGTATTTATTATCTCGAGTACAAACAAATTGAGAGAAGCATTCAACTGTTCTTTCTGTTTTATGCAAATTTTTGAAGCGTTTGAAGCGTTCATAATTTTTGAAGCCTTCATAATTTTTTAAAGTTTGTTGGTGACTTCAAAGAAAAAGAGAAGCAATTAACCTTAACAAATTTGCATAAATACAAGGGATGTTAGGCCAAACGTTCTTTGTCTCAGTGATAATAAGTGGACAGAAAAGAACTATTATCATTTATTACTTGAATGATTAGCTTGCGTGGTGGTGTCGCGTAACATTATTCATCTTCTCATGTATTTAAACTACATCAAAACAGCAGTTCTTGTGCTAGCGGTCATTTCTGAAGTACTGGAAATATAGATTGCACTAAATTTTTCATATCAAGTTAAACTAATGACTGGTTTTGATTAGGGAAGTATAAGTATTGTATTTGGTAGTGGTCATCTTTATCATTTCCATATTTGGCTACAAATTAGATTCTTATTCTAATATTACTTTTTGCTATCAGTCTGCATATTCATTATCACTGAAATTCAGTTCTTGCTGAATATTTTTGTTAATGACTATTTTCTTAATTATTTAGTCAGAATTATTGTTGACCTTATCCATGTTGCTTCTGATCTGTAGGTTAACCTTAAGTAAGGATTAATTGTTAACATTATAATTCACAGGAAAATACACAGAATTATGCAAAATCCCGTCTTGTCAAAAATTATTACAAAAAAGAGGACTCATCAATATTTGCTCACAATTTTCCAAAAACAGCTGAACTTGTTGCATATTCTGAAAGACAATCCATGAAACGATATAAACGGTACACTAGTGCTGACGACTCAGGGTAACAGTCTTTAAAATTATTATTTATTATTATTATTATTATTATTATTATTATTATTATTATTATTATTATTACATTTTCATAGACCACATTATTAAACTATTACTTATTAAATTCTGTAACGCATTTTATCTTCAGCATAAAAATATTCATATAATTACACTCAGTAGGATCGATAATGATAAAAAGTTTCGATCTCTTAGATAATAAAATATTAATTGTCTTATTTTATGATAAAAATTACAACTGAAGTGTAATTTAATCTATAAGTTTTATGATGAATAATTAATTCGCACACATTTTAGATCATACGTCGCAATCATGATAACTTCAGCTTTATTCGTATCAATCGTGGCATTTATTTGCCTAATGATTATGTTACACATTTTTATTTACATGAGATGGGGCATTACAAGGCGACTTATTCTTCTTAATACAAAGGTTCCTTAGAATACATATATATTTGCATTGTATTCATTTCTTTGCTTAAATATTTCAAAAAGTTTTTAATATATTAAAATATTCCAAAATGCATTTTTTATTTCAATAATTAGCACTTTATTGTCATTATTGTACATATGAATTTAAGAATATTTAACTATAATTCGTTGCTAATATATTAATAAATCTTTTGACGTCATTTGTTTTTTACGTGAAGATAAATATGAAAAGATGAAAAAAATATGTGAGTAGCATAAAAAGAATTGTTTTGTAAGATATGTGCTTTGGAGTCACGTCTTGGAACACGTCAATTATCAGAAGATTTACAAAAGAAATTATGCGTAGAAATTGGTGCTTCGTATGAAACAATGCAACTTGAAAGACAGAAATTTACTCAAGAAGTTGTAAATGGTAATTTTAGAATATATTCAGAAGAATAAAAAAATATACTATTGTAAATTAAATTTTCAAATTACTTTTCATTTTTCATTTTTATTTTAGTAAATTTTTTATAATAACAAGAAACGAAAACTGAGTTTTTGGTATTATTTAAAAAATCTATCAATATTTTATTACTGTAAAATATTTTAGAATAAATTTTGTGAACTTCTTTTGCAGAAGAACGAAAAATAGTTAATGAAGTGGTGAAATCAGAAAATGAGGCTCAGTACGACACAATGCATGGAGTATCTGATGTTTTCAAAGTTCACAAAGGCGGTAAATTTTCTCTTTATTTTAATTTAATTACTACTATATATTGGAAATTATATTTCTATTATTAAAAAAATATATTAAATACTCTTTAGTTTTAATTCTATATTTTAAATATTCTATATTTTATTATTAAAATATTCTATATTAATTAATAGTAATACGTGGATATGAGTGGTCTAAAAGTTTCGTATTTTTTTTCTTGTCATTTTAATAAAAAGTCAAATTATAATAAAGGAAGACATCAATCAGTCATACATCTTTAAATGAATTTTGCTTAATTATTAATTGCAGGAAAAGTTGAATCTAAACCTGTTCCAGACAAAGTAAAAAAAAAGCAAGATGAAGGTACTATCATACTATTATTATTGTTTATTACTATTTTCTGTTATTACTGTTTGATTTTGATAAGCTTGAAAAGTTGACAATAAACAAATTCCAGTATTGATCGAATCAACAATTTATTTTGCTAAACTTGTAAAATAAAGATATTAAAATATTTGTTCTTGACAAATTTTTATTGTTTTACATTAATTATCGAAATTGAAATTGAATTTTCAAAACAGTTCTTTATAATTATTCAAATTTTTCAGATGAAAATTTGTACGAGAACGTGCCAAAAGGTTAATTTTTCTTCATTTAAATTCAAGGTAATAATAGACTTATTTAATTTTGTTTCATTTAAAAGTAATCTGAGATTATTTATGTTATATCAAATTAAGTTGACAATAACATGTGATAATACAGTTTACATGTGATAACATGTGATAATGTAGTTTTAAATTTCATGTTTGAACTAATATTTTATTTTAATATTCAGTGTAATTTTGAGATTATTCATGATATATTAATGCAATAAAATTACGGAAATTTTCGTTCGCTCCTCCATATTTATTAATTTTCATATGTTTAACTTTTCATGTTTTCACAGTGGATAAATAATTTAGATATCAATCATAATAGCCGTGGTTTTGAAAAAAACCGAGTTTCGAATATATCAACTTAAATTTTAGATCAGATCTTGTCGTTTATATGATGTTTTTAGTTATATGAAACTTGAAAAATCAAATACATTCAGCATAGATCTTTTTGTTATCTTTTTTTTGGAGTAAAAGCTAGAGTTAATTATTTGTGGATAATTCGATGACCAGTCATAAGCATTTTCAGGTCAAAAACAACCACCAAATAAGGATGTAAAAAGTAAGTTATGCATCAAAAGTAATAGTTGCATTACCATTATTTTACCTCAAATATATGCTTTTATTTCTATTTCAAACTAAATTTGCACAGATTTAATACAAATTTTCATTTAGTAATGTGTAGAAATGTTTTGTACATAACTTTAAATAAATGCTTGCAGCAAAACAAGACGAGGCACCCCCAGAAATCAAAGGTTATGTTGTGAATTATTCATAAATATTTTGTTTGATTACTAAAATACAACATTTTTTTTTTAAAGGCAAAACAGGTAAAGCTAAATCTCAAGACTGTATGCAAATATTTTTAATTTAGTTTTACAACTTGGATAAAGTATTGTGTTGTAGTACCAGAAGTTGCTGGCATGGTAGATGAATTAGATCCTAGGTATCATACGCTTGCTGGCATGCAGAACGAAAAAATCTTCGAAAAAAAAGGAGAAAATAAAATAGGTAAACAATTTTTACTTTGTTTGAATATTATTATATTAACTAAAATTTTGAAAATTAAAAGCTATTACTATTTTGCTTTCAACTTATTTTTCAAGTTTGGTACGTTAAAAAGATTCATTCTTATTTATTAATAAGTATGAAACTTTGAAAAAGTGGAAAATGATTACAAGTGAGACTAAAGATAGGCTATTTGCAGGAGGTTCGTCGCAAGATGAAACACAAGAAATTAAAGGTTGTTTTGGAAATTTTACCTCAGATAAAATCTCAAATAAGGGCTCAGAATCAAATTCAAACTTACAATTTATATTTTAGCTATAATTTTTTTAATTTTTTTGATTTAAAAGTGATACTGTATACAAAATATAAATACAAGTAACAATTATAATGATTTCTTGGAATAGTTTTACTTAGATATTATTTATACATAATTTAATAAGTTCATAAAATGATCGTTTACTACATAGAAGTAAATAAATTGCATACAATATCAATTTTTAAGTAAAAAAAATTTATAGCACCGACAGTAGGTGGTATGGTAGATGAGGCAGATCCAAATTATCAAACTTTGGTTGGCATGCACAATACCAAAGTTTTCGAAGCAAAATGTGTGCATAATAATATTTTATTAATGCAAAAAAAACTTACTTATTTTTTTAGATTTTATTTTCGAAAAGTATTGATTTTTTGTTTAAATTTTATTTTTTGCAAAGTCAATATTTTTTTGTTTAAGTTTTGTAATGGATTAATTTTCAGAATCACACATTATCAATTCATAACTCTCTTATCAGTACTACAAAACTACTATGATATAGAAGAAATTTAGTAGCTAATTTGACTTACTTATAAAAAATATTTGTATTTGCTAGCAAATTCTTAAATTTCTTTACAGTCAAAATAAAAAAAATTCTATTTTTTTCAGAAAGCAAGAAAAAAACAAGTCTGTTTTCAATTTGAAAAAAAAGTTGAAAACGATAATGTGACTTTTTTCAAAGTTTTTGTATGTAAATATACATATTGTTTATTTTCATAATATGAAAGCTAGACTTTTTTTTAATAATAAATTTTTTCGATATTTTTCATGGGACAAAAAGAAAATAATTATTTGCATGCTAGAGATAAAAGAGAAATGAATAACAATAATAAAGTATTCAAATGTTAGATAAGCTATTCACATTTATTTTGACTGAGGAAAAGACCAAATTTCACTAAATTATGCATAAATATTTTTCTTCTCAGTTTTAATTTTGCATATTGTAAACAGCTTTTTATTTATTATAATAAAAAAACACTAAATTTTATCTTTTATTTGTATCATTCTCTTATTCAATTTTTATTCTAAATACATTTATACGTATTTATTAGATGTCATAAATGTACATTTATGTTGAAAAGTTATGTTTTACGCAAATGATTTAGCAATTTGTATTTAGAAATGAGATATTTCTTACTCATGACATTCATAATAATTACAATCTTAAAGTTAACGAAGAACTGAGTAATGAAAAGTAATTAGTTTATGAACAAAATGTAATTTCATGGACAAAAAGCAGTAGTGGAGGGAAAAATGCTATCAAATAAAGCTAAAGTGACCAGCTAAATCATTGCTTAAATTGATATCTGTTCTATAATCGTAAACAAAATTTACCAATTACAGTTGTTCTGTATTCAACCGTACTAATATTGTATACTAAATGTAGTGAGTTATTAATTTAAGCAATTAAGTATGAGGATAGTGTTGTTGCATTTTAGCAAGTTATTGTTTTCAACGGGCCATAATTTTTAATTTCAAGTTGTTTACTGCCAAAAGAGGAAATATTTCTGTTTCTGTTTTCGCGAAGTACGTCAAATGTGGATGGCATGACATGCAAGTTTGCTTCTTGTTATGGTCGTATAACTGGCTTAATACTTTTTCTAAACAATTTTTATTCCTGTTTTTCAATTGCCGTGATTTTATTACGTCCTGTTCAATCACGTCACATACTATCACGTGGGACCGAACTATTCTAGTTCATATCACATTGTTTAATATGTTATTCTTGTACGTGTTAATTATTATTAATGTTGAAATGAGAAAGTTTATTTTATTTTGTTTTTCCGATTAGTTTAGAAGAAAAAAGGGCGAAAAAGCGAGTTTGAGAAAATTTATTCGTGGAAACTATCTTATTCTCCACAGGGTTTCGATTTTGTATTTGTAACATATTTTTTATTCAGAAAAATTAATTGGTGGCTATATAATCGACTAATATGTCAACTGGCAATATAAATATCAGTTCTCGCAGGCTGGAGGAAGCTGTGCACGGAGGATGGCTAATGAAAAGAGGTGAACATATCAAGAACTGGCGACCGAGGTAAACTCAAAGACTTTAGAGATAATATTTCTTTAATTCATCGCTATTATTTCGGTACTTATTACAATTCAAACTTTTTTAGATACTTTTTGCTTTTCAAAGATGGTGCACTGTTTGGATTTAAGTCAAAACCAGATCCAGATTTACCACTTCCTGATCCCTTGAATGATTTTATTGTCAAAGATGTTCAGGTAAATGATTAAAGATTCGATTTTCTTTTTTGTTTCGAAAATATACTGAGTTCATTTCTAACTTTTTTTGTAACTAATATGTTAAACTTTTAAGCTTTTGAATGTATAATTTAGTACTTCTATACACTATTATGTTACTTTAAGGATGCACAGTATATAAACATGGTAGTTATGGTTGGAAATTTGTAAAATTGTCTAGAATTGGAATTAAAATTCGTACTTTGATTTTTTCGTTTTTTATATAGCTGATGAAAGTGGAAAGACCAAAGCCAAACACGTTTTTGGTACGTTGTCTTCAGTGGACAACTGTTATTGAACGAATGTTTAATGCTGAGACAGCTGAAATACGAGATGCGTGGATGAATGCTATAAAGGTTTAGTTTTGACTTATTAGTGTTACCGCTGTTGAGAAAGGAAAACTCATTTTGAATAGTATTTTAGAATGTTTCGGATTCACTGAAAGAAACAGAGTCATTAATGGATGTAGGAATTATTGACTCAAACGTATTATCAGAAGTAAACTGTCAATCAACATTTATGCATAACCAGCACAAGATTCCGGGAAACAGTAATAAGCATGATATGATGAGTATGGCTGATGCTGCAGAAGCTGCACGAAGAGATAAAATAGTGAGTTTTACAATATTTGACTATGTTTCTAAAATCTCTTACTGCTAATTCTTGCTGGAAAAACTTATACATTCTCTGTATTGGTTTTTTTTTTTCAATTATTAAACCAACTAGTTATTGCTGAAGACATTAGAATTCATCAGTAATCATATGTAGCGTTGCTAAATATCTTATGAAAATTTGTATCTCTATTCACACCAGTTGGTAGTAAAAAATTAGTAACTGATTGTTTCTGCTGAAATGCTAGTATTTTTTTGTTACAGACTTTGGAGGATTTCGAATTTTTGAAAGTACTGGGCAAAGGTACTTTTGGTAAAGTTATTTTATGCAAAGAAAAACGGACAAGAAGATTATATGCAATCAAAATATTGAAGAAAGAAGTAATCATACAGAAGGTATGTAAAATTTGAAGTTATTCGTTTAATAATCATATTTAGCAATATGATCACAAACGCTTCAGTGTTTATTGCATTGATGTTTGCGCTGAATTTTACATAATGTTGTAAGTGAAGGCAAGTGTCTCAAATATTTAATGTAAATAATATTCTTTTTACTTAAAATATCAGTTATATCTTTTTACTTCATGTGTATTATTTCTCATCGAAATCAAAATAACAAATTTGTATGTATTTCAGGATGAAGTAGCGCACACTCTGACTGAAAATCGCGTACTTCAGAGATGCAAGCATCCATTTTTAACTGTTAGTTATTTTAATTAATAACTTGAAGATTTCAATGGCCATTTAATTTTTATGATTTTTCCATTGGTAATCAGTGGATGGATTCTGATGATTACTATCCTTCAAATAAGACATTTCAGAATCTGTTTTGCAGCTTTCACTTTTTGCTTCTTTTATCATGCCATTGCTAACATTCACAAGATTTGAGCAGTTTTACTTGTTAAATTACTCTGTAGCAGGACTAGAAGTTTTAGAAATGCTTGGGTGATTGGAGTAGTAGCATTTAAATAAAGTAATATAAATTAGATTAAAATTATTTGATCTCGACTTATTTTTCAAACGCAGTTGCATAATCGCACTTAAGATCAATATATTATATAATTTAGTTTTTTTATTTTTAGTTTTTATTTTCGGTTGTTGTTATCTCAGTGTGCATAATCAAAAATTTTATTGCATGCTAATAGTAAAGAAGTTTTATTTATCACTTTTGGAACATGTTCAACATGCCTCTGGTGATTTTTATTTACCATTATTAATACACTTTATTGCTTCAAGTAATCAGATGCCATACTTTTCATGCACAGGTTCTATCGTTTTCACTTAGTGTGTGCATGCCTGTGATTTGACGCCACTTTTAAGTTTTTCATTTAGTTATGTATTCATTTTTCCGTTTCGACCATATAATAATGGTTCAAATATGAGTTTTTTCTCTTTTCAAATAGCTTGTTTCATTTAAGAGATGAACAAAGCCTCTTTTATGAAATTATGTGTTGGAATTGGACAGTTCTTAAGGGCCTCAGTAGTCTCAGCCGCATTTACTTCAAACTTATTCTTTTGTGCCTGTTTATTTTAGCAGTTGAAATACAGTTTTCAAACGCCTTTTCATTTGTGTTTCGTGATGGAATTTGCCAATGGTGGTGAATTGTTCTTCCACTTGCAACAAAATCGCATCTTTAGCGAAGCAAGAACTCAGTTTTATGGAGCAGAAATCATTCTTGCTCTTGGTTACCTGCATGAGCAGTGTATTGTTTATAGGGATATGAAGGTTAGTACTTTAAAAAGTTTCGAGGCAATTTGCGAAAATCGACTTCTAGCTTATTATTTTCAGTGCTAATAATTGTATTAATAATGGTCTTATTTTCTCACGGAAAAATCCTCACAATTTTTTCGTAATTTGTGTTTCAGTTCCGTCCATTTTATTTAATTATCGTCATGGAAATGTATTTATTCATGCTCAACTGTTGTATTATAATCATCTCAAGATTACTTATACGTAATAACCTGTCAACTAACATGTCACATATGACGCCAGCTCATTTTGATTTTCGATGATTTTTTTTCGTAATTTTCATTTTTTCAAGTCATAACATTATTTTCACACAAGTAATTCTCGGACCTATGAAATTTTCAAATCATTGGATACGTATTATTTGTCCATCTACAGTTTTTCTTTTCATACAGATTTTCACGTTATGAGCTCACTTTAATTTTAGTTTGCTAATTTCAATGCACTAATCATTAAATTCACGGGACCTTTCATTTCTTATCAGAATTGCTTTGGAAGCTGTAAAATAGGTAAGTTAAGGTTTTCGGGTAATAAATGAATTCTGGGTTAAGAAAGTCGATCGGAATGGCCATTGAATTATATAATAAGCTTCAATATAAAGCAGAAGATGCTTGTCGGCAATAAGCGACTTCGTGTTAGGAACTTTGATAATTGTTTGAAATGAATGTTAAAGTTCGCAACACATTGTTGTTTTTTCTTGAACTAACGAACATTTTTCGCTTCACCAACTTTGTGTTAGGAACTTCGGTATTCATTTCAAACCAACGATTGGCTTTGTTTTGTTATGGAATTTGCAATTGGTGGCGATCTTTATCACCACCTCAGTAAAGAAGTGCAGATGAAACGAGAAGGATTTAGTGAATCGCGAACACGATTTTATGGCGCTGAAATTGTATCTGCTATTGGTTACTTACACGGCAACGACATCCTTTATCGAGATCTGAAGGTTTGGTCTCGCTGATCCAGAAGTTGAGTTGAATCTGCATTTCTTTCTCGCATCGGCAACAAAAGCAGATATATTTAGATTTGCATCTTGCATGAAAGCTATTGCTTCATTTTCCATTCAAATTTTAAATAACATGAAGTGCAGTGCTAATATTTGATATCATAGATCTGTAAATTTCACTTCGCTTTTTGTCCTATTTATTTTTCATCTATGAAATGGCATTTTTCTATTATTGTGCGTTACAAATATTATAGTTTCATAATTGAGTACGTTTCGAATCAAACATTTGTGAGGAAAATTCATAAATCAAATTAGTTTTGAATTTTAAGAGATAATTGCGTCATAATGCTCTTTTGTGTGCAATATTATTTACTAGTATTGTCAGTTTTTCTGGCTTCTCATTTGGAACAGAAGTTTTTGTTTCCAGCTCGAAAATTTGCTTCTGGATAAAGATGGACACATAAAAATTGCTGATTTCGGGTTGTGTAAAGAAGATATATCATTTGGAGATCGAACAAGAACTTTTTGCGGTACACCGGAATATCTAGCTCCTGAGGTATTAATGTTAATGATCTTTCTTCATTCACAGGCTCGTTTGGTGTCATGATTTTGACTGATGCCTTCTATTTTTGATCTTGACTTCCTCATATAATTCTTATTACTTTAGGTTCTTGAAGATAATGATTACGGGCGTGCAGTAGATTGGTGGGGCGTTGGGGTTGTGATGTATGAAATGATGTGCGGTCGGCTACCGTTCTATTCCAAAGATCATGAAAAGTTATTTGAATTGATTCTTACGTGTACCATTCGCTTCCCATCGAAATTAAGCGCACCAGCAAAGGCACTGTTAGATGGATTGCTGATAAAGGACCCGAATAATAGGCAAGTGAAACCTTTTTCTTTTCTGTCTAGAATTCATTTATTTAATATATATTAGACTTTTAAACAACTCTTTACATGTATCTTCTCATTGTTGATGAATTTCAATGAATTAAAATCAGTCTAGACTTGGAGGGGGACAGGACGACGCACAAGAGATTATGAGACATGAATTTTTTCAAAATATCAATTGGGAGAAGCTCTATCGCAAAGAAATTACTCCTCCGTTCAGGCCGAACGTGCAGTCTGACACTGACACTTGCTATTTTGATAAGGTTACCATCTAAAAATGTATTTCATTGCATTTATGTATCTTGTAAAAATGACCTACTCATCTTAATAGAAATCTATGATTATACTTATTAGGCAACAAAAAGGCATGCATGTGAAACCCTGATAAATTTAATAGATTTTTCTTAATAGTGCATTGAATATGATAACGAAGTTACTGTTTTTCTACCGTCTTAATCTTTCTGTTTACAGGAATTTACTCAAGCTCCAGTTCAGTTGACTCCGCCATCAGCTTGTACGGGACCTTTAGATACAGTTGACGAACTTGATGAGATACGGAATAATTTTATACAATTTTCTTTTCATAGTTCTATCCCCTCACCAATGCGCAGTCTCAGTGATTCTGAGACTGCGTTCGATTAATAGCTGTATGCATGCGACTAGCTTATCGAGCAGTTGCTGATGTAGAAATTGGATTCATTCTTTACGAAGTACAGTAATGCTACCTTTCTCAATTATTTATAGGTTTCTCAACAATTATTTACATTAGGATTGTTATTGTTTTAAAAGGTTCCAATTGTTTTTTTGTTGTATAAAAGCCTTGCGATTTATCGATTTTTCTTACATAAAATGTACAAACTTTTGCAGTGTTATTTTCTAAGTTTAACTTTTCACTATAATATGAATTAATTAGAGTTGATTGCAAATCGGTATATCTATGTGTTATTTAACCTTTTCATTTCTTGTAAGAAGTCTACTTTATTCGAAAACAGTATTTTTCATATTTCAGAATAGGCGTATGGGTAGTCAAATCGAGTTAGGTTATAGTAGTTCTCAGTTTTTTTTTCTCACCAGGGAGTATTTTGTTTTTTTGTTATCGATTTAGTCGATTTTTATGGTGTCGGAGTTAGTTCAGCTTTTTTGAGTCCTTTTAATATCTAATATCTTTGATTTTTTTTCAATCTCACGTTAGTTGTGTTTTACTTCTTTTCCGGGTACTAAAATGTAGTTTTCGAATTTCCAACATTTGTTCAAGCTATTTTTACTTGATTTTTGGTTTGAAATAGATAGGACGAGACGAGGTCGAGTTTAAATACTGGTTTTTTCTTTTCTGATAAACGATATGACAAACAGAGGGAGCTTGCTTTACGGTGATTGTAATGGATATTAAAATATGGTGATAGTTCTTTCAGATAGAAATCAGGTGTTCAGCTCATAGAATGTATTAAATAATCTGACAATGAGATTTTCTGTGTTTTATGGAATGTTCCTTTTTCATTTATTGTCAACTTGATCTAGATTACTGGATGTTACGTTATCTTTCCCTTGCACAAGGTGTGATAGCAGATAGATTGTTCACATCTATCGTCGAAATACAGGTCTTGTTAATATACTTTATAATTCTACAAGGTTTGACGTTTTGTGTTTGCAAATCTTGATACTTGTTTTTACGTAATCACCTTTGTCCCCAGTTTAATTCAAGAAACACTGGTATCGTTTGTTTATGTGTAAAGGTCATGTAATTTATTGCATATATAACTTTACTAAAATATTTGATGAGTTAAAAAGCATAAAAATTAGAAAATTTTGTAGTTCAGTTATTGTGTTTATTATGTAACAATGGTGCTAATAAATTAGTACATTTATGTTTTGCTCTTCAAAAATCAAAAGGTATCTTTAAACGGATTCTTATAAGCAGAGAGTTGTTTAGTAGGAGCACGGAAATCTGCAGTAAAGTCTAGAAATGTGAACAGTATCGTATTTTACCGAATGCAAATTTACAGTAGGTGATTGGTTGGCTTGAAGTGACTGCTGTTGAATAAAGGTAGAGTGGGTGACAGATTTATTTGTTTGTGGATAGGAATGGCGAAGTAATGATATCTATTTTGCATGTGGATTAAGTAAGCATGTAGAATTTTTCAAATGAAATTAGTCTTATTACAATTATGTAAGGTCATTTCTTTGTTATTTTTTATTCAGTTACGCAAAGTTTATTTAAATTATCTGGAATAATCGAAATCGAAAAATGTATTGTAGTAAGCTGGACACAAGAAATGTTTTGACCCGGATATATGTCAGACTGCATACATGCATGTCACGAAAGTAGTTTTTTAGAGCTGGATTTTGATTAATTAAATCAAGCTATTATGTAAGAGCCAGTATGAAGTACTAACAAGCATTCGGTAGTTATTTTGTGATGAGCTTATTAGCCCGTTTATTAGCTGATTCTACGCGCACTTCGTTCGATTGCGTCTATAATTTGTCATAGTTAATAAATCTTGATTAGATTCAGCACAGTTATTTCTAGTCATGAAGCAAGTCGTACTTTTTCTTGATAACAAACTTAAAGTTATTGGAAATTAGTACCTCTTAGCACTCAAAGAGCATTATTTTCAAAACTGGAATTGAATTAGCTAATTATTAAAACTAATCTCTTTAAATTGCCGAGAAATTATGGCATTACTAATGTAGTTACTCTTACCTTCTCATGAATACGATCTAGTTGTCTGTTTTGATTGCTAACTTCTGTACTCATATCAATTGCCATATTACGTAAATTACCAACCATAGTAGAAACTTGTTGTACATTTTCATCCATTTCATCTTCTCGTGCATCGTTTGTTATTCTATAATGTTTTGCTAGTTTAAGGAAAATTATTATGTTATTTTTGCAAACTTAGTGCAAAATAAATTTTTGATATAAACTTTGTCAATACTTTGTTCCATTTTTCCCATGAAATTATGATGAAGTGAAATTTTTGCAAAAATAAAAATCTGTTTTTACACTACTTGATTATTTAACAGAAGTTAAGAAACAAAGAAATTAGCAAAAAATTAAAAAATATGAAATTATGATTCGGAAGTCAGTTATAATGAAATAGATCATTTTAAGATTAAAAATTGACCGCGTAATATATCCACCTTGTGGACCCATTCCGGAATCGCCAACGGTTATCCGAGGTTGGTCACTAATTACGCCTCCATCATCGTCTTTTTTCCAGGCTTTTGCATATTCTGAATTTTTTTCAAAATCTTCCGTTCTGCAAGTTCAACTGATGGTAACAACTTTATTGATATATTATCAAGTTCTGCAAAAAAAAGTCAAAGTGTTATCTTTTTTTACATCACTTGATCAATTTTACTTTGTAAATTCTAATATTATAATTGTTTTCTTGATTTGGTAGTAAGTAATTAAAAATTGTCAATATTGTGTTAGTAATTAGATTTATTGTTTTCAAATAGCAACGCAATTATTAAGTTGTTTTCATTGAATTAAGCCATTATCATTATTCAGTCATCTCTATTTATGCAATAATTATTTACTAATTCTTAATTTGCTTCAATTTAAATGAGCTAAAATATTTCTCTGATTTTTTAATTGATCGAAATAAGCGCTGAAAATCAAAAACGAATTATTCACTTGAAACACGGCAGTGTACACAAACCACAACATTTTTCCATTCCTTTCAGATGCTCTTCTGCTTCACGCATATCTTGATTAATTGTATCCAAACCACCTTCTACACGTTCCAGTTGTTCTAAAAAAAATAACTTGAAAAGTTCTGAAATTATTTTATATTCTAGTATTTTTTTAGATTGCTTAAAAAATATCATTTTCAGTTAAAAGTAATCATTAATACTAATTACTTTATTTCAAAATTGAGCTTTTTTCGATGGAAATTTTTAAAAAAACCCATACTTTATATTTGGCTATAACTTCATACTTGACTATGAAATCGAATAACCATAGTGTGGAGGGAAATTATAGAAAGAAATCATAAAAAAAATAAAGTACGAAGGTTATGGGATTAAAGTAATCATCAAACCTCCTTGATCATCTAACATTACAAGTGTTTTAATACCAGCTTCTTTACTCTGAAAATTGTATAAATTAGTACATTATATCAGAAGTACTGCAAATTTTTGGTGAATAGCACAAAAATCTTGCTAGTTTTTTCAACCTTTTTTATTTGTAGTTCGAGTAGATTGAATATTTCTTAGCATCACGATGTTGTAGTGATCTTAATTAATGCTAAATGATATATCTGATTTTTTTGAACTACAATAAAGATAAAACTCTTTCCAATAACAATTAATAACGTACCTCCTCACATAATTGCAACATACGCCTTGTTGCTTCTAAAGACTGAAAATGACAATTCAGTATATAATTAAAATTGAAGAAGCAAATATGTCTTTAATAATCTTAGTTTCTGAACTGTTTGATCGAATTGTTAAAAGAAAGTAAAAACAACAAATCGTAAGTATACTTGCGAATAAACTTATAGTTGACAACTTTATCTTATCGCATTTATTAACTAAGATATTTTTATTATTAAAATTAGCTGATCCTGATCAAATATTCAAGTAATTATTGGTGAAATTTTAAATTTTCTTCAAAATTGTAAGTTCTAATCTAATTTAAAATAAATTAGAAAGCATTGAAACTGCTACAAACTATCGCTTGTATTATACTCTCTTCACTTCTTACTTATTATTCACTTTGGATTTTAAAAAAAATTCCAGTGAAATTACAATCTACTAGCTCAATTAGCAAATCCGTTAATTTGAAAGGAGTGAAACAAATCATTAATTAGTGATTGAAAAGTGTGAAATAAATCATTAATTAGTGATAATCATTTTTTGTAACTGTAATATTGATAAAGATCATTTACTTCATCTGTTGTTGCATTCATCTTCAAATTGATTTCTTCTAGGGATTCAGGTATCTCACCATTTACAGCCATATCGTTCTTTCTACTTTTCTATCCACTTTTTATACTAAATAAATTTGTATTCTGTAGATTTTTTAATTAGCATAATTAAACGAGCCAAAAATTTGCATTAATTTTAAAATTATGAAAGCATTTATAGTAATTAATGGCTCAATTTAAAGGGTAAAGGACAAAAGTAATAAAGAAAGTAAGCAAAAAAGACGAAATAATAAATAATTCAAACTGTTTGGCATTGTTAATTTCATACTGATTAAAGATATAAATTCTCAAAGTATTCTTCTTGAAAGTTCAAAGTATTATACGAGTAATATTTGAATTATAGAATAGAATTATTATGATTTACATGCAAAAATAGTAATCTTTTACTTAATGTAAATAGCACATGGTTTCAAAAAAGTTCACTTAATCACATTTTTCGTATTAATTTCGTTAGAATATTATATTCTTGAAGAGAAAGAATTTTTCACACGCATTAAGTCATAATCACGAATACGCATATTGTAAATAGCATTACTTCTTGAATAAATAGAATAATCTGATCTACTGCGATGACTGACTGCATATTTACACCATTCATATATGTTAGAATATAATTTGCAAAATAAATATTAATTCGCTTTGCAAATTATAGTTTTTACATGATCCCATAAATATAATACGTATGGAAGTAAATTAAAGCTTGAATTTGCATTAAGTTTTCATAGCATATTAAACAAATCAATAAGTGATAAGGTAAAATTTAACAAGTGTGATAATATTATAAAAAATTATTTAAAAAATAATTCCTTTACTGATTAATTCCGTTGTTTGAGAAGTAAATTAAGTATTAACTAGAAGAGAGAAATAATAATGTGGAAGAGGAGTAGTGTAGATTATAAAATGAAGCTCAAAACTACGTATAGAAGTTAGTTCAAGCAAAAAAGGCAAAACAGAAAAAGGCCTAACGGAAAATAAATAAATAAAATATCTCAGTATACTTTTTCGTAAAATCGTTCTTTTTTTCTCCTCTCCCTGCTTATCTATTTCAGCCTTTCAACTAACTTTACATCTATCAGGCCTTTGCAAGGCCTTATCTCTCGTCTAAAGATAGAATAAAATCGAAGGAAGCAAAGGAAGACACAAAAGTGCACAAACTAAACCCTCAGTGGTTTTTAGTACACACTCCTTTGCAGGGACTTTCTAAGTCTAACACTTGCTAGATCGATTTAGCACAACTTGATTGAATATTGTTAATGCATGCATACTTGCAGTTGCGAGTAATATTCTAAATCAAAGTAGCAATACTCTGAAACAAAGTATATGTTTATGTTTTAAACTGCCATATTTATATATTAGCTCACCTTCGGTCTCATCTATCCTGCTGCTGCTTTTTAATTCTTCCACACATTTCTATTGTGCCAAATACCGCTAAGAAGAACGAACCTCACAAGAAACTTATCCCTGAATTCAAAGTAAATGTTACCTAGAAACCTAGCATTAACTTTTGCATATCTTTCACTTTTCTCTAATTAAAGCTGAAATTAGATGCGCATAAAGAACATACTTGATGAATGAAACTTTTATTATCAAAAATACAATGCAAACATCGACTGAACAAACAAACTCCTATTTTTCTATAATTAGATATGCTGCAAACGGATAGATCCAGTACCAGTTCTTCACTTCATTCCATAAAAGAAAGTTTAAATTTCAGCAATAAATTAATAGTTACAGGTGGTCACAACTTATGCGAAAGTTACATCTTACTCCTCTTTAAAAATCTGCCTTTTCAAAGAACGCTAGAAATTTCATGTATATGGCGAATGTAGCACTCAAATAGAAAAAGATAAAATTAAACCACATGTTCTAATCCAAAAAGAAAGATACATCTTACCCCTTTTAAAAAATGATTCAAATATCACGCCTGATAAACATATATTCACAAAAAAAACATATCGAAAAACATTCTCATGATCAAGAAGGAGGAAGTAAGTCAACCGATGTAGCAAATTTAAAGTCTGGTGGAAAAAGTTCTGGAGCTCGAGGATAGAGAAGTTTGTATGTTTGTTTTACTGTCACTTCAGCTGCACCCGCAATTTCACCAATTTCTAAAATATTTATCAACAGAAATAATGCTGCATAACTATAGGCTTGATACAAAAGTTGAAAGATTAAAAGACATTATTACAGCACAATGCTAAAAAATATTTCAGTTTCACTCAACTGACACTTTTAGCGATAAAATATTGTCTTGCAACTTTACTATTCAAAACTAAGTATAACCACGGAAAAAATTTGAAAAAGTACAAAAAATGGACCTTTAGCCGTTTTCTTATCATTTGAAGCCTGGCTTGCCATATAGATAGCTGCTGCAGCTATAGATATAGGACTCCGGCTACAAAAAAAGGTTTCTGAGAACTGACTAACACAAATATAAACAAATATAAAGTCTGTATATACTGTACTTATTGCAATAAATACAAATATTATGGACAGTTTCAACTTACCCTGCAACTAAATCCAGTTCAACAGCTTTTTTCGCAATTCGTGTAGCTGCAGCTTGAATGTTATGTGATAATCCCAAATTGCCGCAAAATCGAGACTAAAAGTTTATCAATTGGGTAAGACATTAAGTACCGTGCATGAATATTTGCTACTCAAAGTGCAGATACTGAGATCATTTTGAAAAGTCATGAGATAAAGTTTACTAGCACCAGTAAATTAATGAAACAAATGACCAAATATCCGCTACCGAAATGAGTTACATGAATCTCCACAATATTTCTGAAGGCAAAAAACTTGATGAATCTAACCATGAAATCTGCACTAGTAATTTGCTCCAAACTTGTTTCTAATGATTTTATTATAAGCTTGAAACATCGTCCTATTTCCTTCTTTGAAACACGCGACGCAGCACAAATTTCTGAAATTTTTGAAAGTCATAACAGTCATTAAAAACAAGAGAAACAAAAGATAATTTGTGTGATACCTTTAAATGTACGTGGAACACCTTCTTTTCGACATGCTATATACAGACAAGCTGCAGCTTGAGCCTCATTATTTTTGCCTCTTAAAGCTTTACTATCCAGAACGTCTTTAAAAACTTTTGCTGCACCATCCTGAACACTTGCATATTTTTGAGTTTCTCCAGAAAAACCAGTACTAAAAAATTTGTATAACAAGAAATAGGAAAAAAATTTTGTGACTGTATCAACTATTATACTTCAATTGATTTGGGAAGATGGATACGTGCACTCATTTCACGAATTACACTCAGGCCCTGCGACATTTGGCGATCGATGTTGTTCATGTTTTTCCTCTGTGCATTCGCAAGGCTAGAAATGGATGAGACTTCAATAAGGAAAAATATAATAGGAATCGGAAATCTATTTACTTTTTGATGTAGAAAATGAAAAAGCAATTGACGTGTTAAATAAAAGAAAATAACCTAACTTCGAATTCAATTGTATAATTGTAAAATTGAGTTTTCGAAACATCTTACAAATAAATGAAAGCTTTATGATTACCTGTGATCGCTTTCAGAGCCACCAAAACCGACAGCAATAGATGTTGATAAATCAGCGCTTCCAAGAAGTGGATTTTCTGGTGCGCCAACACGCGAAGGATCTGAACTTGATTTTTCATTACTGAATGAACGCCATTCTGTGCCTACATCAACCATCCTTAAATTTTAATGCAAATTTAATTTCTAAACGCAGTATTAAGTGTTCTTGATCTCATAACAATTAAAATAAATAAAAAAATAAACAGAACTTCTAATATTTGTAATAAAACTAAATCAGAAACCTATCTCCAACAACCAGACCACATTCTGGACAAATCAAATCACCAGCACGATGATCTTCCACAAGATGTGCACCTGGATGTACAGGGCACTCAACTGACATAACTCTGAAAACATTCTACGCCTGACTATGATATGATTTAATGGAAAATGAACTGCAGCGAACAGTTTATAGAGAAAAGAAGATTACGATAACTACCTTCGTAATCTTAACAATATTAAAAATAGTAAAATAACGAAAAAATTGCTGTTTAAGTCTATTTTCATCTTTATAACATAAAATACCGATTGTCAGTCAGATTTTCACTACTAATAAGAAAATTCAGTCATTCCCTTTTACAAAGTGCATTATTACTTGTAAGCTTATCTCTCTTTGCTTTTCATTATTTACTATACCTTTGCTCTATACTTGTTCAGCAAACAAGAAAACATATTTAGATCAGGTATCGTTCGCCATTTACATGTTTATAAAGTACGTGAGAATCAACCTCACAGAATATAACAAAATTCACGAACCCTGACGCCATACTAATTTTAGTCACAGCTTATTCAGAGAAACACCTTGAATATATTTGCTTGGCATTCTGGTCAGGAATGCGAAACCGAATGATATAAAACTTTGACTGAGCAATGCGAAAACAATCGTCTCAACTTTTTCTCACAACAGGAAGACCTAAACGACACTTAGATGCAGTCGAGTAATTCGTTATAACTTCATTGTAAATCATCAGATTCTTTTTTTTCGAATTTTGGGACTGCAATGCAGCAATCAACACTACTAGTATAATTTTATCTCGGACATTAGCAGCAAAACTAAGGATCGATGTAGCGAGCCAAAAGCGATGTTTTTAGGAGACGAAACTTTAATGGAGGACGGAAACAATCAATCACCACAAAATAGCTATCATTGGAAATTGTGCTTCATTCCAGAAACCCTCAAAGAAGATTTATCATTCTTCTCGACTGAATATTCTACACAATTAACAGACAGAACTGCTCACTATTATTTAAACAATGACTATGGTTAAATATCAATAAAAATAAGAAAGAAGTCGCTTTTTATCTGTGTTGCTCAGGTATTCGTGTGATACGCAAAAAGAGTTGTCATAAAGAGAATTATTCATTCCATTGTTTATATATCAACAAATCAAGAATATCACTGATATAAACAGAAAAAAAAAACATAATTATGAACGTGGTCTCTCCTTTTTGCCCTTAAATAATGCAATTAAAGATGTGTTGGCTACTTTGACGATCTTGAATCGTACCCCTGGAATGTCGCCTACAGCGTGACCTTTCCTACCGAAACCAGCAACAAGTACCTCGTCGTTTTCCTAAAACGAAACTTAATCTGACATTAATCAATTATAGTAATAAAAATTTAAGATCTTAATCTTTATGTTTTCTTAATAAATATGAGATTTTTACTTACGTAAAATAATCACACTTATACATTCTTAAAGTCTATATTTATGCAAAAACCTTTGTCATAAAGCAAAGTTGGGGAAAAAACAAACTTCAATAAAATTCAAGCAACCATCATTCGGAACGAATGCTGTGATTTTTTTGCCATTTTTGATTAGTTGTACACGCACACATTTTCTAATAGCTGAATTAGGTTGCTTAGCTTCCACACCACTAAAAATCGGTTGATACAGTAATTTCCAATTTTACTCTGTTTCTTATCAAAATTAAAGCACATGAGTATAGCTTTGTTTATCATACATTCAGTAGTATTTAACAGTCACCTATAAGTATTCGCTTTTATTTGGGTTCACTGTTACGCAAATACTATCTTCATATATTCAAGTATCTTTGAAAAAAATTTGGGTATGACAATATAACAAAAGCTGTATTTGCATTCTAATAAATAGCTACAAATCTAGACAGATCTTGAATAGATCAGTAGAGTTGATAGAATCAATTCATTTGTATTTTAGCATTAATAAAGCTTAGCTTACACTTTTTCTAGAACAATCCCTTTGGCATGTGATGCAGCACCAAAAGGATTAGCCTTCCATCGCGTTCCTAAGTGAGCTTTCTTGTAACCTTTATCATTCCATCGCTGAGCTTGACGATGAGTTTTCAGTTTTCGAGCTGTACGAATTCCTTTAGGCTTTCCCATTTTCAACAATGAATTATTTCAAAATAACAATTTTGACAAAATTAAACTCTGCAATTGACAATTATAACATTATATAACACTATAACAGTAAACAAGTTCGACCATAAACATACTTACTAATAACTAACACTCTATTCCACTAAATTCACTTTTACGTGAGTAACTCATTTCCACACGGCCCAACCTGTGAAACGCTACATCCATAGTCACATTGCGATTATTTGAATAAAATATCATGTAAACTCAAAATATCTGCATAGTTTTCGTTTTATTACTCATTATCTAATCATAATAAATACTTCAGAGATTAACATTTGTTATTTCAAATGATTTGTATGCAAACAAAATTTGGCATCAATATTTTTGTGCGGAGAACGACTCGGTTGGTTGTTTTGTAACGAGTAAATTGAATTAAGAATGAAGAATTTCTTATGGAGAGAAGTCTTAATTTTCTGCTTATTTCTGGCATCAGTATCGAGTGAGAAGAGTGCTTCCGTGCCATCAGAATCACATTCAGCTAATAATATCTTCTCAGTGCGGTATCTCAATTTGCCCTTCGATGTGAGCAAATTTCTTCATGTTCTCAATATTTCTCAAATACGTGAACGTTTAGAAAACACAATTTGGTCGTGTTTCCAACAATTACAAACTAAAATTCACAACACAACAGAGCCATTGTAATTTGAAATGGCATACGTAAACTTTTTAACGTCAAAATTTATTAAATTAAAAAGATTAATTAAATTGTGCGCAAAATTGTTATTTTATACTGTAATATAATTTTATTGATTCATAATTGTTGTTTCATATTGTATTAGAATTTTATTGACTTTTGGCATGAATTATTCACGTATTAAATATTGATAATATAATTTTATTGATTCATATTTGTTTTTCTATATTGTCTTATAATTTTATTGACCTTTGGCATGAATTATGTACGTATTGAAATATTGAAAATGATAAAATCTTTTATTAATTTGAATGTTGTTATTTTAAAAACTCTACCCGCTCAAAATTGTTTTCAAAAAAAGTTATAAAGTTATATCTGAAGTAACATCTTTGCTAAATTAATGATTTGTCTAGTTTTGTTACACTTTTTGTTATCGTTTAAGTAAGTCAAAGTAATCTCATGAGAGTGTTCTCATTTGAGTTGTAGTAAACAACAGTAAATTTTTTATATTAAGTATGCATTAGCATTTTTAATTTGATCTAGAAAATAGAACGAAACTATGCAAATCACATCATTTCAGTATTAATTTAGTTTAAACTGTTACAATCATCTGTAATCTTATAATCATCGAAGAGTGAAACACAATTACGTCTTAAGTACGTATTTATTTCCAAAGTAAGACATATGCTTAAATCACGTGAGATTATATTCACATGTCATTATCTGGTAGTACGTGATGAAGTAAGGTTAAAATTACAGCTTGCATAGTCTCAACATGATAATTTGCATTGCTCATTACGATAATGAAAAGAATCACATTTGAGGGGTGCTTTCAATTTATATTCCCGTTTCAGTCAGATGCTTAGTACTTAGTTGATTTTCAAGCTTCAGAATTTAATTTAAGTTGAAAAAATTTAGCATTTAAATTGACTCAAGTAAACATCTTGATTACAATTCATGCATTGAGAATTGGGAATGTATCACAAATTTTTTAATACTGAAATGTATTCAATTAAAGATACCAAAATAGTCTAAAGCAAAACGATGAATCTATCTAAAATTATCCTAAATCTACCTAAAACTATGAATCTAATTTTTCCATTACAAAAAGGAGTTAATCATGAAGAAGATTATTTGTTTATGCTAATTTTTGTCAGTAATCTGCAGGCTATTTTTTATATCTCTGAAAAAGGGTACATTAATAATTTATCGCATATGTCTATACTTAACTTATTATTATTGAAGTATTTGAGAGCAAACATGAAGATGAATGCATTTTATCTAGAAAAATTTTACGTAATTCTGTAAAAATGATTTCTGAATTGATATCAAAATAATTTTGTGCATTTAGTTTCTGATAAAAATTATTAATTCTGAAGTTCCAAGTTGAAATTAATTCAAAATTTTGATATTTTTGAAGCGAAAAAGACTGGTGATAATTTTAATAAGTCATCACTCATTTTTATCGATAGCGTTTGTTACCTGGTAACTGATATGATGAATGGAATTACTGTAAAAATAATCAGTGCTTTAATGATGGTATTTGTCTTTCAACTTGTAATGGTTATCGTTGTAAAAGTTTTGCGGGTTTTCATGAGAATAAATGTAAACTTGACGTGAATGTGAATGAATGTCGTTTGATTACGTTTACCTGACAAATTTATTAACAAGATTTTCAGAATGTAAGACTGAAATACCAAAACCTTTTTAATTAAAAGTAATTATTTTTTAATTCGTAAAAATAAAAATGACTTAAAACTTGAAGAAACTAAAACTCCTAGACATGAAATTGATAGTATTTCTTTATTACTATTAAAATTTTTAGCATGCATTAATTAGTTCGTTTCAAATTCAAAAAAGTTAGGTGATTTTTAAACTCATAATTAGAATCGTCAACTGGTAATTTTCAAAATATATAAAAATGTTAAAATTGAAAATGCCAAATAATTTTATTCAGTTAGACAAAATTCATCATCTAAATTAGACTTTAAAGAACAATTTTATGCTTTTTACGCACTATTTAATCCATAAATCCATATTCATAGAATATACTTACGTAAATTACACACAAGAACAAACAAAAAATTCGTCAGAATTTGCACAAAAAAACTCAATTTGATAAAATTGAAGTATAATAAATAAACTAATAACAAAATACGTCAAATAAAAATCAAACTTTTATGAAGCAGAAAGACTTTTTCTAATTCATAATTTTTTAAAAGGTTTTTTCTTAGTCTGATAGCTTCACTGGATTATTACTTCATTACTAATTCTGCCACAAATAAATTTTAAAGCTCTTTTAAAATTATGTAAATTAGATTGTATCTATATGGACTAAATATGCAAACAAAACTCTTATTAATATTTAGTAATTTCTGTCAAAGTGTTCAAAAACAAGATGAATATCATTAATTTAAATCTATTATCTGCTCTGGATAATGGATTTAAATTAGTCGCAAAGTTTTGTGTTTCTGCCATGAGCTCGTTCGATAACTGCTCACTTTTCACAGTAGGTATTAAATCAAGCACTTCATGAGAAGATGAATCTAACAAATCGGTTTTTGAAAATGAATACTGTGCTTCAGAATTACAGTATTCCGTAGAGCATATGCAAATATTATAAGTCAAAGGTGCAGTTTCTATATTAACTTGCTTAGAACGAACTGAATGGCAACTGAAAAAAGCTTTAATTTATCTAACGTCGAAAACATATTCCACGTAACCGGTTAATCTTTTTACAAAGTACATAAAACTCAAAAAAAAATTTGCAACAAATCTAAAAGTTATCCATTCTTTGAAATCCAAAAGGAAATGTCAAGTGATAAAAAAACTATGATAAAAAAGTGTTAAGGCAGTTCAAAATTCAACAACGCTTCAATTAACGTGAAAAGAAGTAATTTTATGGATTATAAAAATATTAAATTTTCAAAAAATAAAATTGTTGTACACAAATTAAAAACAACAAACCCATCTAGACGAAACTTTTTGTTCATCCTTAGCTGAGTAACCAACGTTTGTTCCATGCAACCACGTACTACAAAACTTGCGTCTAAAAAAAATTTACTACCGACTGAACTTTCACTTTTATTTCAGACAAAACACCGCAACATAGTATACAGACTTTTTTTGTAGCAATTTTCTACTAAATCTCTTGTGTTTATTATTAAATTTGTCTAAACAAACGATTAATGCTAAATAAAATAAACAGCTTAAACTTTAATTTTTACATCAGAAGTAAACATACCATAATGATAGAAATTATAAATATTCAAGTATTATAAACTTAAGATAGACTTACTGGCAGTATTGGGGGAAATCGTAGCACATAATGGATATTTTGTGCATATCTGAACACGGAACTGATATGGATTCTTCGATGATAAAGACTTAGAACAATTAGGAGATGATGCATCTATAGGCCAATGAAAAATGTCCGTTTGCGCTCCAAGTTGATATCGTAAATTTGGTGCCAAAATATGAGCATAAGAAACACAATGATAACAAATATGTCCTGTAATAATGACTGATATTAAAATAACAAAATCTTTGAGTGAATCCATTCCAAATACTATAAGGTTTAAAAAATTAGTCAATATCCTGGAATATTTTTATTTGCTGTCATAATAGGAAATAAAAACTTGGGCAAAATTTTGATAGCAGTAAATAAGTTTTCTACCCAAGTTAAAATTTGACACTTTAACAAGCTAATTTGAAACTATTTAATTAACAAACTTTTATTAATTTGAAATTTTACATTAATACAATTGCAAAAATTTGATTAGTCCTTAACTATTCTTAAAAATTAATTAAAATTAATTAAATTAATGATTTCTTAAAAAGCTTTTTAGTATTTTATTTTCTGCCAGTTCTGCGTTATACTCAACATGAAAATGTGGCAAAATATTAAAACAAAAAATGGATCTAATGAATACTTCCTTATATGTCAAAAAATAAATAAATAACAGATATTCACAGATTAGTAAATAAAGTAATAATTAAGCTAAAACAATTATGTATACCGAGAATGAGGTCAGGATTGAATACGAAGCATACCAGAAAGCAAATCGAAAGTCGAAACATGAAGAATGCTATTTAATGGATTAGCTTATCTTGGATTCTGGCATGCTTTTATTTTTTCCTTCCATTGAGCCAATCCTCGATTTGGGCTTCTTTTTTTTCCTTTGCACTAAAATAACATATCTATAATAAACAATAAAAAACTACTCTTTTTTTATGCTAACAATATACATTTGCATGCACATATATTCATAATATGTTCGAAATTGAATACTTAATTACTAATATACTCTACTTCTTTAATTCACCAATCTTTACTTTAAATATTCAATGATAATTATTTAAAAACTGAAAATGTTGCATGTTTTCTACTGATTACTACTGAATCTGTGACTAAAATTGTCAAGTATCGTAAGAAGTAAAGCAATAAGTAAATACAGAATTTATTTTACTCCTCTCAGTACATCACTTTAAGTGAATAATAAGCTTACCAACAACTACATATGCTCAATATTAATCCCACTTGTGCTCTTGTATCATAATTCACCACGTATCCACATCAGAACAAATTTAATATACTTACACGCAATCACACGCATACTGAATACAAATGCCAATCATTTCCAGCACAGCTATTGCTGAATATTTAATTCAAGAACACGTTTCAGATTACTTTGCAACATTTTATTCACTGAATCCAAGACATAAAGAATTCAACAAAATAAATAATAGGAAATTCCATTAAAACTTGTCATCACTTTCTCTTATCATGTGTGTGCAAAATGACAGAATGACCTTTGTATATACTTGCTGATGGCTTTCCTGCCTTGCATTTTTGCATGTTTTAGAAAAGTTTTCATTCCAACAGCATAATATAAATCCAAGAACAATATCGCGAAACAAGGATTCTAATGTACTGATCGTTTTCACCTCCATCTGAATGATCATCGAATCTTATAGCTTTAACAGTCTTCTTAAGTTTACTTCAAATCCATTATCAAAATATGAATACTCAATCACTTCACATATTTCGATATTTATTGCATGTTTCAATTTTAATCAAAAAAGTAGTTTTACCAACAAATATCCGATCTTGTTCATTGTATCAAGAAAATGAATATTTTCCAACAAATAATCACCCATCTTCTGATTGCAAGAATAAATTTTCAACAACAAATAAATATGTATGCCTCAAAACCTGGCTCTGTTAGAATATATATAGAGAAGTAATGAATATGTTTGATTCGTAAAATACTACTAGACAAAGTAATTAATAGTATGCAATTATATTTCTGAACAAAAAATAGTACAAAAATTGACAACACTCACAATTTTTAAATTTAGGAACATGCTAGAAAACAAACGGGAAGACATTGACAGGACCTGTTATAATACTTGGGAATACAACAACAGATGTCTAGCCAGATCATATGGCAAATATTTTTCCGCGGTCAACTATTTAAAATCTTATAAGTAATTTTTATGAGGAATTCACCGATGAAGCCAAGAATAAACTTGGATGCAAATCGCACATGTACTCTACAGCATTATTATTTACCGTCGTTATAAATTCAAAATGCTACTGCACAATAAAGTACATCAAGTAAATCAAAGTAGGACAACATTATTATCAATAACAATAAAACTAATGACGACGTCGCAATTCTACAGTAGTAGAAAGAAAACGTTTTTGTCATCACTACTTTAAGATGTGAAAACAGAATACTATCAATATTCCTGGAAAGACTATTTTCTAACTTCTACAACTGATAAGAATTTGCGATGATGAATATCCTACAATTAGACATTGAGAAGCTGCTTTGGTTCAAAAAATCAGACTGTAAATTTTAAAGAAAAGTTAGTTTGAAACGCTTTCAATAGCACAGAAAAGTGCAAACGAACGCGATGAAAACATGTTCAAGTTCCTTTCTTGAGCTAATAACTAGGATCACTCTATGCTAATTTCTATAAACATAAATTAAACAAGGAGCATATATTTGAAAATTAGTTTTGAATAAATTTGTAGAAAACCATAAAATACGAGTACTTCAACAAGCTTTATCCATTCGAGCCAAATGATTCCAGTGCTTCAATTGAAAATTTCATTAGTAATAAGATTGCAAACTAAAGAATTTTTCAAATGTAAATAAAGACACTGATTCTTAAGAAGACTCAAATAAAACCAATTAAAAATTTACCTGCTTTTCTTCAGTTTTCAAATTACGAAACTGCTTAGTTGCATATTTTAGAAAATCTTCTTTTCCGTCATGACTTGCTTTTAATTCATCTTCCGAAGATTTTAACCATAATTCGAATCCTGTTGCTTTCTTAATTGGTTCCCTGAATTTGCACTAATGAATACCAATATTATTAATCAAAGTAAATAACTAGAAGTAAACAAAAAAATACCTTCAAAAATTGACCAACTATAAATTACACTTTCAAAAATCTATTCAACATCGAAAATTTAAAAAACTGTAACTTACTCGTTTTCAATGAGAGAAAGCAAAGTTTGCCGACTTTTCGAAGCCTAGAATGAAGAGTCGAAAAAAGAGAAGCATCAAATTTTCTAGAACTAACAAAGCCATATCAGGCTTAGAAAAAAAATACACATAATGTCTAATTCATTCCACTTCACAGATTTTAACAACCTTTATTTTCTTCCATTCGCTACTATCATCCTTTAATTTCCGGAGGTTGGAAGATGGCGAGGCTAATGAATCGAAGAAGCCATCATTTTTAGGTTCAAATATATCTTGAGATTTTCGCTGTAAAATACTAATATAACGGAATTTTTCTATCGAAGAGGCAAAATCATTGAATAGAGACTATAAAAAATTGGATACAAACTCCTCATCAGCAATTGAATTTTTGAAATTTTATTATAGTTTAAACCAAATAATCCTATACCTTGTAAGGATTGGAAAGAGGACATTGCTTTTGAGGTACAAATATTGAAGATGAATCACTACTTGGAGTTGATTCGAATTCAGTATCATGTTTTTTTATCAATGGTTCCACTTTTTTTTCTATCGTTTTCACAGTCACTTTGTTCGAAGCATTATTCTACAAAAGATGAAATTACATCTCAATATTTTTAAGACGAATCATTTGTGATTTTTAAATGTTTAAAAATTACAGATTCATTTTCTATTTCTTTAAGACGTTTTGGAGCTAGAAAATCATCTTCTTTCTTATCATTAACTAAAGCATTTCTTTTCCTTTCTATGTCGCTCTTTTTTTTCATCTTTTCGGCATTTATTCTTCCAATTTCCGCAACCTGTAAAAAGAATAATTACAAACATAACAAAATTATTAACTTTCGCTTTTAACAAATATCTGAATAATTTGGTAATGGAACAGATGGAAGAAATTACTTTGAAGCATCGCAGTACTAATTTCAACATTTCATTTTGCTGATGTAAAAATAATATTTAAAAAATGTTAAGATGTGGTCAAAAATGCCTGACCAAATTGTGTAAATAAGAAAAAACTTTATAAATGCTGTTTGGTTAAATTTTGAACTCAAAAACACAGAACCTTTTCTGCAAGTAAAGGATGTCGGGTCTTTGAAGCGAAATTGCACAATGACTGGATAACTTTGTCAGAACAGGAATATTCTGCAAATTCAGCAGCGCGGCACTGACGATCTGCTTTACAAGCAAGAGCAAATAATTTAACTACATCTTTCGTATAACTCGTCGAAATCTCCTTTAACATTTTTTAAAATTCTATGAACACAAAAAATCATTTGTTTATATTCAATTTTATCAAAAGTAAAAATAATATATGACACATATTTGAGAAAGAATGAAGCGAACCAAATTTTCAGCGCCATCATTCAAAGCAGATCGTTGGATTTCAGTGAACAAAAGCTTCTCTTCAATTTTTGACCTCTCTGAATCCTAAATCCGACAAGTGGATTAGCCCGAAGAGACAGAAAGCTTTTATATTACCATTAAAAGTTAAATTTTTGCTATGTACAAACACAATTTCTCAATTATAAGGACTTTAGTTATAATAATTAGACTTACTTAAAATTGAAGTATTTTAAAAAACATAGAATTGGCGAGTCTATTGCTAACATACCTGATTGCATAAAGGAAGCACCCATTTAACTACAGCAGGGACTAAGCGACTTTCAACTAATGGATATGAAGTTCCTCGACAATACAAATAACGAATTTCACATTGCGGGAAATCGATAAAGCTTATAGGAAATATATGATCTGACTTGGTCTTCAGTGAACTAGAGAAATTGTAAACAGGAATCCATACACCACAAGAAGAAAGAATCCGACAACAACCTAAAACTCAACCAAAGCTGAATTTTAACTGCACACAAAATTAAAATTAGTGAGATGTCGAGCAAAGCGCAAAAAGTTTCCTCAAATGAAATTGGGTTTAACTAAAATTTTAGTCAGATATCACTGAAAACACACTGTTTTAAAACGATCTTCGAATAAGATAGATAATAATTAGAAAAAACTGCTAAGACTTAAAATTTACATTTACTATCCATCACACACAATGTCCCACGATTTGTGTAGCCAATCCAATCCAATTTGCTATTCTTACTCACGCTGATTGGAACAGACTGCACCAAAGACTGACACTGATACCAGCCTTCGATATTCATTTTGTAAATGTTCGCCACAAACTAATTTGAATGGTATCAGTTTTTTTCGATAATTTAAAAGGCAACGGAAGAATATATGAATCAATATTTCTAATGCTAGCAATCAAAAAATGAGACATAAAAATAATGAAGCAACGTTTGAAGACATACATCAAATTGAGACCCGTCATTTTCATAAAAAGCACAATTTTTCACTGTTACTGCTGTAAACACATCTTCGAATGCACACATCGTAAGCAGTGGTCCTGAAAAAATTCATTTATGTCAAAATTCGAAATTACAAACCACGTTTTTTGTTTCTCATCAATCTAATATACAGTTGCACCGGTGAATTACCTGCATAACAAAATACTATTTTCTGAGTCCCCGCATGAGAAAAGGTTCGGAAATATCGTTCCGATGTAGCTACAACTATAAATTTCTTCCCTATAACAATGTTTTCGATAGATTCTTTTTCAGGCAGCGTTATGTTCCACTGTCTTGAGTCAAAATCCCATGCATTGATACAGTGCACTTGAAGTTCACTGCAAAACTTAATTTATTTATTAGTGAAAAATTACGATTTGAGTCTTAATGAACTGAAACCTGCTTTTTATTTTTATTAAAATCTGTGGTTAACAAAGTTAAAAAATTAAGGAAAACCTAAGGCATTCTCCCTGCGCTACTGATCCAAGTGCGACAATTGTATCGGTTATATCACCAACAGAAAAATTTGCAATACTGTTATCGATAATAATTTCGGGATGCACTGATATATCATGCCAGTTTATCTGCGCGAAAAATCATGTACTCTTTGGAATTAAGAATCGAAGAATAGTGCAAATGGAAATTTTTCTAAGTGCATAAGTGGAAATTTTTTTCATCGCAAAATAATAAAAATATTTGAGCGTTTTATCAAAATAATCTTCGGATGAAAGATACCTCAATGGCAGAACTATCACCATTATTCGAGCTGATTATTGTCCCATACTGATTCCATTTCTAAAAAACAATATTGTTTGATTGAAGAAAGAAATCTTGTCATGATATCAAAATCTTGACAAATACTGCACAATTTAGATAGAATTCTCACCAAATATCTGTTATTCAGATGTTCAGGCGTAGAACCTGCCACAAAAGTTTTGGGAAGTATCGGATGCTTGTAGACAGGCAAGACAGCTTCTTTTTTCTCGAAAAGGCTTTTCTCACTTTCGCCAATAATTCCACTAAAGTTTCCTTCTTCATCAAATCCATAGGATTTCTTGATTGCGGTTAAATCGGCAGATACTAAACCACATCAAAATTTGAAAAAGTCTACAAAAGTGAAGAGATAAATCTACAAAAAAAAAATACAGTGCGTATCTTCATCATCGTCAGTTACAGCTTCGAAATTACGCTTGGATAAGTGAGACTCTGCCAAATCAATCTCATTTGAATTATGACCGGTGCATTTCTTTAATGAACATATATTTTCCTATAAAACACAAAATTTTTGTTTGTACAGTAAGAAATATAGATAACTCTTAAAGAACTTTCTTCCAAAGGATAATAAAAAAGGTGAGATTTATTCACAACACACCAATAAGATATGCACACAAGCCAAAAACATTTTGCTTTTATTTTTTCATTTATTCAAAAAAATCATTAATCAAAAAATAAATTATCTTACATTAATCTTTACAACTATACCTCAGTATCCGCAAAAAACAATGTATCTGATAATGAACGGTGCCAGAACATTGAACAAATTATTCTTGGCTTTCCATTTATTTGGTACTTACTACAAGTTAGTAATTCTTCTTTTTCAATGTTCCAAACACAAATTGATCCATTTATTGCTGATGAAGCCATGTATGTTCCACATGGTGATACACAACAGATACTGAACATTTCCTGAAAAGTTACAGTTGACTTAAACTTTAATTTTTCTGTATTAATATAAGTCAAAAATATCACTTAAGTTGAGAAGACATTCGAAAATAAAATTAATCGAATGATCAGGTCTTTTACTGACTGAGGTAAAAGTCATATCTTTGAAGACATTGAAATAATTAAATTACATATATGTCTGGTGGAGATAATCTTGCTATCTCTTTGAATGAATCTCTTGTGAACTGCCTAACACATCCTAAAGCAGGAACAAATAAAATGGTGCCAGAAAGATTCCAACACAGTTGCAGACGAGAGTTTGATGGTCTAAAAGCATTCTTCACTAGATTTTTTAATTCTACGTTTGATAAAAAGAATTAGTAACGAGAAGCACAAAATTATAGTATCAAAAACATCTTGAGTGCTCACTCAATATCAATGATGCGGGAACAAATTCTTATAGTGACTGGTTCTGAAAATTCAGTTTTTGATTGCAACGAGAAAACACGCAACATTCCATCAGTTGCGGTTACAGCCAAATATTCATCTTTTGGGTCGAATGCAACACACATTATCTGCCCACTTGTCTCATTACGAACTACGTCACCTGTCTCCATGTCTATGATTTTCACAATGTGATCGCTAAAAAAATGCTCAGTAGATCCAAAAACATTTATTGCATATTCAGTTACATATAACCAAATCTAGGAGCTCACATAAAATTCTAAAAAACTTAACATATATTGAAGCATTCACATAAAATTAAAAAATAAAACTTACATCGAACCAACTGCTAAAAATTTCCCTGATTTCGAAACATCAATAGTAGTGATATCAAGCGAAAACGAAGTTACTGGAGTTACCAATTGTAAAGAATTTTTTTCGAAACGAGATACGGTTGGTTTTTCGATTCCTGTTTGAGGATTCATACTTGTATATCCAATATACACGTCATCTTTCTGATATTATTTTTTTAGAAGGAACAAAATTTGGTGAAAATGTATTCGGTTCGAACTAGAAATGATGATAAACTAAGTAAAATTCTGAGTGTCAATATTCAAAAACTTTTTTTCGTGCACAACGAATCAAACAACGCTTACATGCCATGCGATAGCAAAATGTGTTCTTCCTTTGATACTTTTCGGATCATATTCTGCATCATCTAATTCATCACCCGTCCAAATCCAGACGTCACCATCAGTACCAACGGAGAGAAATGACTGTAAATGAACATAATTAAACATAAAATTATTCAAAATTTGCAAATCTTGTTCGACAAAAGTGTATAAAATTTAATTTAACAGTAATTAGATATCTTTTTAGAAGAATAGATGATTATAACATAATACTCAGAGATAAGCAAACTGTTCTGAAAATGATTATTGACTTTGATTCAACAAATGTTTTTAAATCTTGAATGTAAAATATCGTTTAAGATTTGAAAACATTTGTTTATTAAGTTAGGTTTACACGTAAAATAATAGAAAGGCATGATGTCTTATGCAGATATAGAAATGGGAAAATGCTAAGCACATAAACGAGACAGAAAAATAGCACACAATTACCAAGTTTTCAGTTTATTTATGACACTACAAACAATGAAGTGTTATAATTAAAATTAAATGAACTAAAAACTGTCTTAAATACTTGAGAGGATATTATAAGCTGAACTGCGCTTCAACGAAATAAATATTTGAACACATAGAAATGTAATTCCGGAGCATGCTTTAAAAAAAACGGCGTGAAAATACGTACCCCACTTTTATCCGTGTCACTTTTATCTACGCACAACTGAATAAATCCTTTAGAATGAAGTAAACGTGGTTCTGTAAACGTAGCCGATTTCATTGCCACAAATTACTGCAAATAAAATAACAGCATTAGTGATATTATTAATATATTCGAATACTCAATTACTTATTGATGCAAAAGTCAGTTCAAGATAAAGCCAAACTCGGAGTTGTAATCTCTTTCGATTTTAAAATTTTATTAAAAATTCCAGTTTTTTTAATCATGTATCGGTATTTTTATTTCTATAAGTCCCAGATAAAAGTTAAGAAAATTACAAAAATATACAAAATAAATTATTTCCCAGTAACAAGATTCATATTTTTGAAAATTTAATAAACAATTTCTGCTATGTTTATAAAAATATTCACATATTCACATTTTTAAACAATAAAACCACTATGAAATCTGTGCCGGGCCATTTCAGACCACATTCAATTCGATATTGCATTACCGCATTATTGCATTGCATTACTTCAGGTAAATATTGTTTTTGGGAGATCGTTTTACGTGTTTATAACTCGTTTTACGTGTTTATAACGTGTTTATAACTTGAGCATGAGCAGTTGTGTTAATATTGTAGAGGACTGTCCACCTATAGCCTTGAGTGACCGTTTGTTTTTTTAGGCAAGTATGAATGTCATAGTAGCATACTGATTTATTTTTGTTCTAACTTTATTTCGTTGAATTCATATTCATTTAAAATTTGGATACAATTCTTGCTTACATGAAAATTTTAGAGTAAACACACGTTTGAATTCTTCATGAAACACACGTCTGAAATCTTTATGAACGTATATGCTGTTAAAAGTAAGGAGAAATAATTTATTTCAACTTCTTCGAAAACTTCAGCTAAAGATATTTTTGCGTTTCTGCAAGAAATATAAGAAGTGTCAATGTATGCATGTGCAAAGCTCAAGGAAGCTAGACTGTACATCTCTCTCAAATTATTCAGAAACGTTGATATTATATAATCAGCAATAGATAGATTCCTCGCAAGAAGCCATCATAAATTGTTTGATTAGATCAAATCTGTTCAGTCTAAAAGTACTAATCATATTAGTTATGTCAGCGAGCAGCTAAGTTAGAAAAAATATATTTACTATTGTCAGAATAAATGGCAAAATCTGAAACGTATTTGTCACATTGCCATCTGATTCCTTGACGTTAGCAAAATCTTCATAATAGCTGGTAAATTAAAATTTGATAGGATAGTTGGTATTTTAAGTTTATTAACTGTATTTTGATCGTGAAATTTCTAATAATTATTAGAAACTAATTAGTGGCACTTTCAAACAAGTTAAAATGCAAAATGGAAATGCTCAAATTCCACTTGGAATATATTGTTTCATCTAGTGGACATCAGAGTGGCAATCAGTGTGGCATTGTTGCGTAGCGTGAATTTGGTCGAGATCAGTTTGCCATTTAGTCGATTTGGAAGTTCGTGTTATTGCTGTCTGTCTGTTGGATATCAGTTCGTGATTAGACATTGAGAATTTTGTATACATTCTCGCTATTCTCCACCGCACTTTTTTTCTTAAATTTGATGGTAAAGATCAGTGAATAAACAGATAGATTTTTATTAATCCCTTTCTATCATGAAATTTAATGAGATTGGATTATGTCTGAAAAGTTGTCTGTTGCTGTACTCAGTTAAGGCTAGTTTGTTCGAGCTTTTGCGTGTAGATTTCGTTTATTAGATCAGTTAGTTGTGCTGAGTTGTTGGACAGCATCAGCTTCAAAATTATAATATGGAATGTTTATGTATATACATGTATATTTTTTATATTCATTTATTTTTTTAAAATTTTTTTGTTTATTTACAACTGTAATTATATATTTATATTACGAAAGTTTATATTGATGCATCGAATCATGTTGCAGACTCGTAGTTTTCGGATTGTTTTTTCCTCTCAGAAAATTTCTCCCGCTTTATTTTTCAATTTTCATTTCAGGATTTCTCCTGCAGTCCTATAGCCTAATATTGCACCGTCAAACATGCCTTGCGTAAGCTTAATGAATTCTTTACAGATTATTTCACTTTCTTCATTAATTTCAATTTATTTATGTGTATCAACATACAGTTACATATATTTTTAGAAACTCTATGGATCTCCAAAAAGCTTTCGAATGCAGAAAGTTTTAATTGCTGCAAAAATAGGTGGCAGAGATGTCAGCATATGTGATCAGAAACCTCCACAAGATAAATTTCCTCTTGGAGTGGTTAGTTTTTTATAAGGCATCCAAGTATTTTCCTTACATATTTGGCCTATTACTTTTCTCACATAATGATGCTTTCATTAATTAAAGAACGGAAAGTTGGTGTGTTTGTAACATTGTCATCGTATTTATTGAGTGTTTGAAAATGAATTGCAGATGCCTGCAATGGAAGACAAAGACTTTAAATTGTTTGGTGCTAATGCAATCATGCTCTATCTTGCAGGAGAAAAAATGAAAGGCGCAAATGTTAGTCAGAAAAGCATTTTGTTTTTTAATTTCTAATGCGAACACGTATTTTGCACTGTATTTACTTGGTAATAATATGATAATTTTTTAGTGTTCTGAAGTACTGCAGTGGATGCAGTGGTCAGAGAGCCAGTTACTAACAAATGTGCTGGGATATGTATTGCCTAGTGTTTCTGCTGCTCAAGTTAATGAAGAGGTAATTTATTTTCTCTTTTGTGCTGGAAAATTTAGATAAATACATGAACAGGCTTAATAAGAGCATGCAAGAATGTAAATATTTGTAAGATAAAAAATTAAATGACTTTTCTGATCTTTTTGCTTTTAAATCTGTTTTTGATTTCTTAGGTTTTACAAACTGCGAAGAAAGAATTATTTACACAACTGTCTTGCCTGAATAAATTGATTCTGACGAAAACTTTTTTGGTTGGTGAAAGACTGTCACTTGCTGATATTTCAGTAGCTATGGATCTACTGCCTGCATACCAGGTATATATTGAAGTGTTACAGCACTTTCTCTTTAATGGTTTTATTTAATTGCGCAAAGCATAGAACATGCTTCATATTTCAGTTTGTTTTGGATGAAGCAGCACGTTCGTCTTTAGTGAATCTAAATCGCTGGTTCAAAACTATTATCAATCAACCACTTGTCAAGGACGTTCTTGGAGAAGTTGAATTCGCTACAGAAGTAGCCAAATTTGATAGTAAGTATCTTGTGTGAATTTTTGCTCCGTGCCAATTTTTTGAAGTGCTAGGAGTTTCAGATTCCTTGTCGTAATAAAAACCTCTGTGGTTATTTATTAAATTATATTTACTCTGCTAAGATTTGTGAATACATTATTTAGATTGGTGGAAAACTCGAAATCGTTGTTTATTGTATTACTTTTTTAGGCGTGAAATTTAAAGAATTGTCTTCGAAATTGAAGGGTATGAAAGTGGACCAGAAAGGTAAATTTCTAGCAATATCACATTTGTACTAGGAAACTTAATGTTTTCATTATACACAAGAACATAATTCTGTATTTAAACTATCTAATACGAAGCAAAACTATTACAGATGGAAAAAATAAAGAAAAAAGTGAAAATCAAAAGGAGCAGAGCAAAGAAGGTTAGTTTTACCTCTCTTGGTAAGGCTTCGACGCTTTCTGGAACAAATAACTGTACCATGTATGCAATATTTAAAATATTTCAGATAAAAAAACAAAAACAAAGAAGACAGTGGAGGAACCAGATGTTGCTGATGAAGCATTAAGTCAGGAACCAAAATCTGTTGACCCTTTTGTTGGCATGCCTGTGGGGTTAGTTTTTTTTTTCGAATTAGAAGTCTGTCTCTTTAAACTCTTCAGTAATAAAAAAAATTTTTTTTTTAAGACAGTTATAGTCTTCTGCAGATCATTCGTGATGGATGCCTTTAAAAGAGTTTATTCCAATGAAGATACTGCAACTAAAGCAATACCATATTTTTGGGAGAACTTTGACTCTGCAAATTATTCAATTTGGTTTGGTGAATATAAGTATCCTGAAGATTTGACGCTAACTTTTATGAGTTGTAATCTTATTAGTGGTACGTTTTCAAGCATTTGATTAAGAAATGGTTCTCAAACATATTTTGACGAAGCTTAAATTAAGGGATTGATTTGTTGCTTGTGAATTAAAAATAATTTTTTTCTTTCAGTCTTTTTTTTTTTGAAATACTTAATAATTTAATTGCAGAAATTCACTGAGGTCTTTAAATTTAATGTCTTTTAGTAACATCGAAGAAATATGCATCGGGGCAAGCATTTCGTGTGCTCTGCAGTTTTTGCGCATCTCCCTAGACACCTTAGTTATTGTCGAGTGAAAATTGATAGCGAAGTTTTTATTTTGTGACCGCTCTTCAAGTCATGCGATTTGCGTCAAAGTTGATTGTAATCATTATATCATTTCAGGAATGTTTCAGCGATTGGAAAAGCTCAAGAAATATGCTTTTGCCTCTGTATGTTTGTTCGGGACGGATAATAATTCAACAATATCGGGTGTTTGGATTTGGAGAGGACAAGATTTAGCTTTCACACTTTCGCCAGATTGGCAGGTCTGTCATGTCCAAGGCATTCAGTGCCAGTTTTTGTTGTTTAGTAATGTTCAGTGAATCTAAATTGAGTGTAGTTAATACTTAGTGCTTACAGGTTGATTATGAAAGTTATGATTGGAAGAAATTGGATCCTGCTGACGAAAAGACTAAGAAATTAGTTAATGAATACTTCATGTGGGAAGGTGAATTTGATGGCAAAACATTCAGTCAAGGAAAAATATTCAAATGATTTTAAAATTAGTGAAAGTTGTTACCTGTGTTGTTTGAAACTGGAATAAAGCATGGTTTTTTGTTGCACTTAAAAGAGGCTTGCTACTTGTAAACGCTTTCTCAAGTATTATTATTGTTTAGAGCGTCAAAAGTCATAATTTACGGTATTTCCCTGTATTGGTCTCATCAAATGTTTAGCATTGAACAAAATTGTCACTTCTCAGTTCCATTATATTTACCAATGTGTGATGGGTTGCTGCACTTTATAAAAAACACGGTTTAATACTATTCGTTCTTCATCTATGGATAAATAAGCCAGTAATGCAGGAAGTGTGGGTGGGTTTCACGCCATGTTTTTTGACCGACTTATCCACTTATTTGATGAAGTTAGTGATCTTCCAACATTAATATAAATCAGTAATAGAGAAAGTACGCGAGACAAATATATTCATATTTTTATGCATTATATAACTGTTACGAACTTGCTGTCTATGCATTGATCAGAATATTTGTTCGGTGAGTGGTGCACTCCCAATTGCGATGGATCAGTCCTGAATTAAATTAGTAATTTCTTTCATTTCGGTATGGTAAAAAGACAAATAAATCAGTTATAGAGTAGAAAATTAGGTCAAGTGGAAGTCCAAATGTTGAATCTAGGCAGTTAAAAATAGAAATGATTTACATTAAGTCAAATTTAATGTCTTAAGTTTTATCATGGTTTGCTTTTGCAAGTGCTTTCCTATCTCATTTAAGTCTGTATATTATAAAGGTCAAATTATTATCTCGTTCATCTCTTTTCATATGCCAGTCTTAAATTAGGTCAGTCAAGCAACTGCTTGTATTCATTGTACATATTTTTGGTAGGTCATACTGTACAGTATGACTTACTATCCAATTTAGTACGGTACAGACCGCGAAATTTTTATTTTTGTAAGCCCATATTTTTATATTTCTACAGAATTACAATATATTTTTAATTAGTAATTAAAAATTACCAATTCATTAATGTCAAATTCATTTTCTGGAAAAAAAATCATTTCTGTAAGTGATGCTTGGATGTAAAATAACTGATCATAACCAAACGTTTCGGAAAAGTCATCAAAGCTCAAAGTTTACCTGAATTTTCTTGAAAGGTCAAGATCTCTAATTTAGAAAGATAATTATTAGATGACATGAGATATTTGAATCAATACAATACAAAATCAAAACCATTTTCATTTAATCGAATTTAACGTTTTCAGTATTACTGTTGCTTGCTTATACAAGGGGAGCTTTTCTATTTCAGTAATTACTGAAGTTTTGACTAAACAGCACTTTTTCTGCCTTTATCAATTAATTACTGGTTACTATTGAAGGATCTGAGAGCTGCTAGCATATGCACCCATCATGTGTTAATGGTTAGAATCAAAAAGTCAAAAACAACTCTACTTCTTTGCTTAACTTTATAATATTCTACTAATTAAGTCGAAATTATCACAACTTGTTTGCTATGAAAGTAAGATTTTAGCAGTCCGAAGAAGATACCAAATTTGTTGCCAAAAATCAACTGCGCAAGAATGTCTTGGTGTAATGGTAGATCAAAAGACCTTTAGAACAGCTAATACATAAATTTTGAGTTCTTAATTCCATTACTTTTGCTGTTCATTATTTTATGAATCGAAAACTAAGAGTGATATGCTAAATTCAATTAGTAAAAAACTGATATTCAGTAAATCAGAAACTGATCTATTTGAATTATGCGATTAATTGTGCAGTTGACCATCAGTACAGCAAAGAAGGAAGGATACAAAAATTGTATTGTATGCCTAACGTATATAATATAGCAAAGATATTCTTTCCACATAAATTATCAGAAAATGTTTCAACGTTTGTATCTAAATAATACTCGAGAATAAATCACAATATTTGACAATTATATAATTGATGTAATTTTTATAATGAAATGTAGAAACGTAACTGCTCAATACGGTATCAAAATTTGCGACAACTTTTGCGTCAGTCTTGTACCATATCAAAAAAATGATCGCAAGTATGATTTAAATAAAATATCAATTCGAAATTGACCTTGATAGTTGAATTTTGTTTCATTTGAAGTCTGTATTTGAGATTGCTTATTGCTAAAATGTAGTGCTTATATTTATTCAAATATGACTGATTGCATAGAGTAGTAGTTTATATTGTATAATAAATTAACTAATTGTAATTCCAGTACTAAATTAATTAAATAATTGTATTTACAGTAATAAAGGGTTGTCTTTTTATATCCTTCTTAAAAAACTGAACAATCTTAAACAACACCTCTATCTAATTTGTATTTGTCACCATACAATTTAATTATAATTAGTTAATTTATTATACGATATGAACAGTATTTGAAGTTTGAGATCTAGTAATAACGAATATGGACATTTAGTAAACAATAAAGGCGCAAACTGCAGCATTTATAAGACAATGTTATTAAGATCACTGCTTTATTAAATCATTGATTTGAATCAATCAATAAAGTAATTAATTGAAAACAAAAATGATCATATAATTATATAATAAAACTGACACTATATTTGCCGATGACTAATTTAGGTAAGGTAAAAATGGTCAGAAAGTATTGCAGAATATACTACAATAATGTATAATAATAACGATAGTGAATTACTTATTATCTATGCTTATTTCTTAGTCATATCACTTGAATTAATGCATCATTTTGCTGAAAAAATTAATGCACAATTATGTCTGATAATAAAATATTCGAACTTTACTTTGTAATTATTAATTAACTCAATAATAATATTGAGTATACAGCTAATAAAGCAAATTGTAATTTAATTATAAATGGAAAATCTAATTTAAACAATTTTCTTCACTCAAATACTTGCTTTTTTATACTCAATTTTGTTATTTATCAAAATGACTAAATTATTTTTTATGCCTTTCAGTTACAATATTTTGTGCAAATTCTTTAGCAACTTTTTTTTACACTTCTTTTAGCTTATATAAATATATTTGAAAAATTTTTGGTAATAATTGGAAATGAAAATAAATATATAAGCTAAAAATTATTGAGTTATCATTTTACTACTAAATTAATCAGAGTATAATTATTTACTCTACGACGTAATCTATTTTTCTAAATATAGCATACTGACTTTCGATAATAAATTTTTTCGTATAAATGCTAAGAAATGAATTTTTCACACATATATATCAAATTTGAAATAATTGGAAATGGAAATAATTAAAAATAAACTATCAATTCAGTGCATTATTATAGGAAAAAATAATATCAATTTTTTAGATTTATTGTACTCTTTAAATCGTACTTATTTTGTATTTCAGACTTTATATCTTAGTTTCTTGATCACTCATTCCTTCATTCCTTCATTCATTCATTCATACAATAGACTCATATATTGTTTTAATATATTATCAAATTCATCACCACGACGTTAGCATACTAACTGTTTAAGATTTGTATCGATTACATAAAGCGTGGATTTTTTAGTTTCATATGTACTCATTTCCGTAATCTTAATTTGGTTTGTATTCTTTGTCAAATCGATTGATCACTTCTAAGTCAGTCAGAATCGTAAGCATTTCTATCGTTCGCATTCTCTACCTGGGCCGGTCTCATTTCTATCATTCAGTACAGAATTACTGTAGAAATAATGCTTGCGTTTTGATTGTATCTGTAGTGTTATGCGAGTGTGATTGATTTGTTTTCCATCCGTACTGTCTATTTGCATCGGAATGGATCTCCTTCTGATCGGAAACGCTGCTCACAATAATTCATCAACGCACGCACAGAAGCGCTGTATCTTTTACTCGTCGTTACATGTTCTCTACTACTTTTTTCCAACTGTTGTCAGACAAACAGATCAATTATGACTGAAACAATGCATAATAAATCATTTTATCGCCTGCGAACAATTATTTCTGTCTACAACAATACAGTCATATTGTTCAGTTATTTATAGCGCATTACTTGCTCTCTTAGTATTATCTGTGAATTTGCTACTTATATGTTATTATCATTACTATTGTTTTCAGTAGTAGTAGTAGTAGTGTAGTAGTAGTATAAGTAGTAGCAGTTGCTGTGTAGTAGTAATAGAAGTAGTAGTAAGTAATGGTAGTAAGTAATAGTAGTAGTAGTAGTAGTAGTAGTGTAGTAGTAGTAGCAGTAATAGTAGTAGTAGTAGTGTAGTAGTAGTAGCAGTAATAGTAGTAGTAGTAGTGTAGTAGTAGTAGTAGTAATAGTAGTAGTAGTGTAGCAGTAGTAATAGTAGTAGTAGTGTAGCAGTAGTATAAGTAGTAGCAGTTGCTGTGTAGTAGTAATAGAAGTAGTAGTAAGTAATGGTAGTAAGTAATAGTAGTAGTAGTAGTAGTAGTAGTGTAGTAGTAGTAGCAGTAATAGTAGTAGTAGTAGTGTAGTAGTAGTAGTAGTAATAGTAGTAGTAGTGTAGCAGTAGTATTACTAGCAGTTGCTGTGTAGTAGTAATAGAAGTAGTAGTAAGTAATGGTAGTAAGTAATAGTAGTAGTAGTAGTAGTAGTAGTAGTAGTGTAGTAGTGTAGCAGTAGTATAAGTAGTAGCAGTTGTTGTGTAGTAGTAATAGAAGTAGTAGTAAGTAATGGTAGTAAGTAATAGTAGTAATAGTAATAGTGGTAAGTAATAGTAGTAAGTAATAGTAGTAAGTAATCGTAGTAGTAGTAGTAGTGTAGTAGTAGTAAGTAATGGTAGTAAGTAATAGTAGTAGTAGTAGTAGTAGTAGTGTAGTAGTAGTAGCAGTAATAGTGTAGTAGTAGTAGTAGTAATAGTAGTAGTAGTGTAGCAGTAGTATAAGTAGTAGCAGTTGCTGTGTAGTAGTAAGTAATAATAGTAATAGTGTAGTAGTAGTAGTAGTAGTAGAAGTAGAACTAATAGAGTAGAAGTATTAGTACGAAATTGGCTAGACAATTTTGGAAAAGAATTCTCTGAAAAGTTTTAGGTAACTTATAATTTGGCACAACTTTAGCGCATTTTTTAACTGATATTCATTGTATGATATGGCAAGCACAATCAGTGGGTCATAATAGTTTTATTTAAGAAAACTTATTTTGGCAATTTGCTTTCAAGATGATACGTGTTTATCAAATCTTGTCAAATTTACTGATTTTTTTGTGCTAAAAAAGAGAGTAATATAAATTATAAAACACGTGCTTTCATGAAACTCTTTTTTTGCTACGTTAGAAAGTAGTATTTTGACCAGCATAAATAACTTGCACTCGTGGTATTCCATATGAGGGAAGTAACTTTCTGACGTTTGTTGTTTTATTTGTTAATTACTAAGAATCAATCATGTATAGTCGCCAAAGAAATAAAGTGCCAAAATTGTTTTAGTTTATTTTATTATTACTATTTCTGTATGCTGTTCTGTTTTAATAATAATCATGATATTAAGATGAATAAAAAGTTTTGACATTGCAACAAAGTTGACTTTTCAGATCAGAAATGGCAAATCAAAGTTTTACGAGTAAAATAACCTTTCAGGATATTAGCAAAAGTTTGTTTTGTTATTGTCATTAAATTGTACGAGTTTTTTTTTTTTAATTTGCTCTAATTTTGTATTTTTTTCTACAGTAGTTATGCTTATGTTATGATCACAATTTCAGTACTGAATGAAACAAGGAAAAAGCGCTTACCTTCAAACCCGGATATTGTAGCAGCAAATCAAGGTTGACATATATTTTTATATATCATTACCGTCTGTCTGTTTTTGTTTTTTATCCTAGATCTCTAATTTTATCTACTTTTTACCACAGCATATTTTTAGTTAGTTAGCATCTTATTTTACATTATTCTTTATATACCATTTTTTTTCAAATGTTTAGATTGCAAAAATCATGGTTGTCGAAGCTACAGTTATTATCAAAACAGACGAAATCAAATCACAAGAAATGCAGCTGAGACCAAAAATATCGCAACATCTTCTACGAAAAGTGATGTCAAACAAACTGGTCAGGAATGCAATGAGCGTAATGGCTCCTCTAGTCAAGATAGAAGTATTGCACTAATTTACTGAAGTTTTCTAAAGTGTGTAAGATTATTTGGCTATTAAAATATGAATCATATTCTACCATATTTTTAAAATTCAGAGTCGTCAAACCAGGAAGCCTCTTCTTCTGCAGTCGTGGAAACGCAATCAATCAACGAAATGCAGGAGTTATCGGAGTTAACGCAGCAATCAACGACAATGGAAACTGATGAAGTAACTTGGCATTTTATCTAAACAGTTTTTCTTAAATCTATCTTTTAGACTTAATCTCGAATATGATAGCACGCATTACAACACTGCTTTTCCAGGAATCAGTAGGAACAAGTGGAGTAAAAGGCAATCGTAGCGTCAAGCGAAAAGCAGAAACCTGTGTTCCAGCAGAACAAGTATGCATTTATTGCTTCTGAAAAGTGAAGTTTGTTGGCAATCATGATCAGTGAATGCTTTCATTCTTTGAAGTTATCGAAGAAATTCACAGGATTCTTTGTTTTTTGATGAGTTTTTCTTTCACTCTTTCAGCCGACAGAAGAGAAAAAATCAAAGCATTCTCGGGATACAACTTCGACTGCCTCGCAAAGCTGTTCATCTGCATTAAAAGTATTTTTTGACTTCTTTCGTTTCTTCGTGCTATATGATGGTATGCTCATGATTTATGATTTGCCTTATGCATTTATTGTTGTCTGTTTTTCATCTCAGTTTGTTTAGTTTTGTGACATTTTAGAGAACAACTTTTTAAATAATATTGGTTTAAGGAACGATCATTCTCAGATTTCAGCGCTCAGGTGAATGGTGATGAATGTTTTAAACCTTCTGCTACAGGTCGATTTTATCATCAATTTTTATACATAAACTGCAGCACTTTCTTGAACTAAAAGAATTTATTGACTTAGGGAAGTAGAAGTTGCTTAGATATCTTATTACTTGTTGACAAGTTCCAATTAGTCTTTCCAGATTTTTGTCTAAAAAAGATCTTTAGTTTCAATGAAATCTCTAGCAGACAGAACTGTACGTGATTTTGTAATTGCTTTGGATAAATGGACGGAAAGAAAATGTGCTACATGTAATATACGACTTACTTCCTTCACTTTGTCTGAGCAGCAGGCGCAGTTGTGCTGTGAAATTTGTAATGCATTAATGATTTCACAGCAAGACATGTCACTGGCATCAGAATCAGGTAGTTACTTTTTTGAGGCAAAAAATTAGTAGTGTAGATGGAAAACCTGTGGTAAATTTTATAATTTTTAAAAAATATTGAAAAACTAGCTTTCAATCCTCATCTCATTCTGAAAATTCGTGCAGGAAATTGTCAAATAATAATGTTATAGCATTTATTTGAATAAAATTTAATTTTTTTTACCTGTTTACAGTCATGGTCCAAATGGTTGAAATAGAAGAAATATATTAGAATTTTGTTAAATCTTTTATATTCTGCATTCTTAAGTTTCACAGCAAATAGAAACAGGTCTTTGGGTAATAACTGTCTTCCAAGAAGGACGTAGTCAAATTTCATTATGAGCATTGTTTTTGTAGAAAAAATTAGCAAACGCTATTAATTGATTGTTGACACGCATCAAAAACAACTGATGTATGAAGTAGAATTTGGTAAGATTTCAAGATATGATTTTAGTATAGTTATAAAAAGTTTTTTAGTAGTTTGATAATAATTAATTTAAGTTATCAATAAGCGGGGTCATGGAAGAGCTGGTAGGAGACGAAAACAGGCATCTTCGTTCGGTAGAAACAGAAATAGGGGTTTGTAAACTTTTTTCCAACATTTAAATGCAGAACTGACTTCTAATTCACTCCTTGGTATTCTTTCTTTTCAGGATTATTTGCCAAAAATTTGTATTTTTTATTGGATTTTTATGATAGTATGCTGTTGATGCCATCATTCGTATCATTCATTATACACTAGGGAAATGTAGAAAAGAAAGCTATTAATATGATTTTTCTCTGTAGATAAAAATAATATCAGTGAATCATGTTTTTTGTTTTTTCTTGTTCACCAAGTACTTCTAAGGGAGTGATAGTGCATGATTCTGCTTGCACGCTACTTTTTTTAGTGATTTTCTCTTTTGTAACCTTTTTTGCAGTTTCCACTTTCATGTGATGATATGCAGCTTAGCAACCACTTTTAGTACTTTGTAGTATAACTTTAATTCATAACTTTTCTTCCTTTTTAGCAATTTCTTCTCAATTTCGGTCATTAAGCCTCGTTAGCTTCTTTTAATGTGTTTTACACCATTTTGATAAGAATGTAAAGTCATATTTTACTAACTCTTAATGACATATTTTAATGGCTAATTTATTATTTTGGGTTTTTGCAAGTTCACATTACAGTACTGTACTGAAAGTCAAGCAAAATATGACATGGAATTCATGAAATGATAGCAGATTCAGAAATTTTTCGTTGACCTTTTTTGGCTCATGAAAAAATTCCTTTTCTTTTTTTTTGTTCTAATTTTTATTCATAAAATAAACCTCCGTAAGATCTTAGCGAGCTGTTACTAAAGAATGGTTTATCTGACAAATCCATTCTAAGGTATGCACTAGTAATTGAGATGAATCTCCCCTTACTGTAAATAAAAATATTGTTGCCAAATTTTTCAGAAGACAAATAGTTTTGTTTGAGCTGTAGGAAATAAGCTAGAACAAGCGAATTTTGCCGCAAAAGTTAATGTTTTTCTATATTCTCTCAATAATGAAAATTTTGGAAATTAATGATGATTTTTAATTAAAACTTGTCTGTCATTCATTATTTCAGATACTGATAGATAGCGATTACATGAGTTATATTTTCCATCAATTTTCAATATTTGTGTTGGATGAAATGTTGAAGTAAAGTTAGTTTATTTTAATGAAAGCTATTACAGATGATTCAGGAGAAAATACTCAATTCAGCAAAGCTGTGGATACTGAAAATCATGATTGCTGTCAGCTATCAGCGAGGACACAGGAGCATAGTGATAGCGAAGTACTGGAAATATTGGAGCATGATGGAGGTGATAGCAAGATGCAAGCACAGAAATCTCGCAAAGATATTGAAGCAGTGTATACTCTACAAATGGATGAAGACAATGGGGCAGTACAGTCACAAGAAGTTAATCAGCTTGATAAGACATTACGAACGCAAGAAGTTAGTGGAAATAGTGAATCATTACAAGCACATAATGAAAATAATGAAACAGTGTGTTCGGGCCTGAAATCAACCGAGAATCCTTCCTCTAATATGGAAGAAGCAGTGAAGAGAAGTGATGAAGTAGAAGTATCGGAAGAACATGGAACAATTAAAGGTAATTTCAAACTTGAATTGAAGTATTATATGCAAAATATTTTAATATTATTATTATTTCTGTTGTCAATTTCTTAGCTACATTCTTTCATTTTAACAATAATAAAATTGAAAACCGCGATTTGTATTTCCGTAAGGTTTTATATTGTAATGCGGTGCTTTTTATAACACATTATTTTTTCAATTGATGAAAAAGCTTACATGTCTGTCTGTATATGTGGTTTCACACAAATTACATAGTTTTGAAAAAACTCTGAATTTTCTCTTTGCAGTGAGAATTTCCGTAAACGGAGTATTTATCTGATAGCACAGTATTCATTTTTAGAGGAATCGCCATTACATGCTGTTACACCACCTTATTACTCAAACGACTGTGCTGTAAATGATCTGATGATGAATAAAAATTTTAATGCAGGTATTCCAGCTGAATATTTGATGACTGAGGAAAACTTGCTTCGTCAAGGTTTTTTTCTCTCTTCTCTCATAGATTAAATAATATTCGAAATGACACGGAGAAGATACTAAGCTTGTCGAGGAAGCACGCTAAAGGCAGATAATTTAAGCTTTCAAATTGTGTTATCATGAAAGTTACTACAGTTGCATTGTTACAGATGAATTAGCCTCATCAACGTCCTCATTGTGTGGCATGCAATCTTCATATTTGAAAGAAGCACAAACAGTCAGCGTTTCAAATGTTCCGCTTGAACCAAAAATGAAAACTGAGCCTTGGCTACCATCTATTGCTAGTCTTGATCTTCAATCTCAGCAACTTCCAATTGCAACAACAGCTCCAACTGTTACTACAGCTATAACAGAAGCTGAAGCTGATATGGAAACTAGAACTGTTACTACGACTACAAATGCAAGTGAATCTGTCATTTCGATAGGAACTGAAGCTGGAGTTGTGACTTCTAGTCAGTTTCAAGACCTAACCCAGGTCAGAAATTTTGAAATATAATTGGATCGTATTAAATCTCTATTCAGTTTACTTAAACTATTTTGTATAGTTTTTGGCTTTGTTATCTACCCTGGTCAAAAATTTTACTTGCATTCTGCATTTCTGATTTCCGAGTAAATTTTTAGCGTAATTATTTGCTTCTAACTGTCTAATATTTGCTGTTCATATTGACGGCGAAAACAAATGCCACACATAAAGACAGCTTATTGTTGCGTAAATAAGACAGGTTACATGTATTATTTATTTGCTTTGTACTATCTAGTTTGTTACATTTGTAATATATGAAATGGAGCAAATTATTCGTTTGAATCAGTTACAGATATCAGGTGCACAGCCGTTTGGCTTAACTTTCGCACCACCATCACAATTATCAACTATTAACTACAATATGCCACAGCAAAACAACCCACTATTTGTTCAGCCAATTCGGCCTTCTGCGTTTGTTCCAACCGTCCCAAATGTATGCATTGAAAGAAAAATCTATTTTCTTTTCCAATTTAAATGATTTAATTTTATAATGTTTTTAGTGGACATATTATAGCATGCAGACTTCAGAAAATACGAAAGTTAATTTGATGTAAAATTAAGGTACAGAAATTTACCATTACAAAAGTATCGATAATGCAAGTTTCAATATAATAGTATGACAGTTCTTCGGTAATAAAAATATTTTACTGCAGCAAAGTGCCCAGCCGATTTATGGAGGTGGATCACAGTTCCAAGCAGGATGGTATAAATTTTGGTTTTGCATTTCCATGTCATCTTATTTTTCTTGCAAGCCTAAGTGTGGTTGTCATTATGATCTTTGGAGCAAATTACCGCTTTTTTTGCAAATACTGCAACTTTTGTTTTTGCTATGCATGTTTACATGGGCTTTTCATTAACTCTGTAATTTTTCTTGTATGCTAATATTTTTAGGGAAGGGGCGCTACAGAATCTCACTTATTACAATACCACTAATTCTGCTGTCCCTTACAATCCGGTCTTTAATGGAACACTCTTCACACCTTCCTATGTATATATTCATTTGTTCCATGTGTAACCTGCACGCAACATTGTTGTGCTCTAAAAAAATTTTGCTGACCTGCTTTGTTTGTAATTATGAACAAACTAATCATCAATTTATATTTAGGAAAGGAATCGTATTTTGCATGATGTTGCAATTCTAAATTCGCAAATCTTGCGAACTAAATATGTTATTTGATAGCGAGATAAAAAATTAGCGATAAAAGTTGATAACAAACAAAGAAGACTTCATTATATTATAAAAATATAACAGTATCTCAAATTTTGGGGATTTTCAGGCAAACCAGCAACAACTGTTACTACAACCAGGAACATTTTGGCAAAGTTCATTTCAAGCTCAAAATAATTTGGAGCTAACACAACACAATCTGAGGAACATTCATTGTTGTTGTAGCCATGCTAACACAGTGAATGTTCCTCAGATTCATACAACTTTTGGTCATCAGCTGATTCCATCAGGTGACTGCATAAGCAGTTTTATTTTTTAATACAAAATTTATGAAGCAATGTCAACATATACATATTGCTCGGCTTTGTCGAGCGGTTGAGCTGCTAGCTAGTCGATGACAGCATGAAGCAGGAAAGCAGAAAATAGAGGAGAAACGGAAAAAAGCCGAGCTTGAAATCATAAATGAAAACAGTTAGGAAACAAGTGAGATTGTTGAAAAAAGTCCTGTAAAAGTCATGGGGAAGCACTTGATTAGTGTACCGGAACCAGCAGAACAGATTTCTGGTCGAGTACAGCGAGAGTGCCGGAACAGTACTAACGCGAGAATCAAGAAGACAGAAGAAAAGATTAACCTCTGACCTGCTACACACGATATATACATATAATCTTAGAAGGTTATGCCAAAAAAACATGGAGTTAAGGCAAAATTGAAAGTTGAGAAAATGAAGTGAATTCATATATTTATCTTAATTTGGCCACAGTGTGTAGTACAGGTGAGAAAATGAGCAACAATATTTAGTTTTCATGATCAATTTTGATTTTTCTTTATTTTTTAATTAATATCAGTGCTTTCAGAACAAAGTTTAAGAATGCCTATGCATGGAATGGTACCGGGCCTTCAAGGAAACTCACAAGAAGCACAAAATTTCCAGAATCTGCTGTCACACTTATCTTTAATACCTAGAACCCTTTTCAGTTTGTTCCCACATGGTACATCAAGGAATTAGGGGAAACGCTCATCTGCTACTTTTAAATAAAAATCCTTTTCCCTCTAAGCGGCTTTTAAATTGCAAAATATGAAGCTAATTTTTGAAACATAAAATTTGGACGAGACAGCTCTGTCTAAAAAAGCAATTTGTGGTCGTAACTTGCATAGTTCATGAGCGGGAAAAAGTGTCTTGCACTTTTATGCGTACCATTCATCGTTTGGCATGGAATATTCTCTCGTTTTCCACGTATTCTTTCAGGATCTATTTTAATTTCAGTATTGACTCGATATTTATCTCTTATTCTTTCCCGTGGCTCATGTGAGATGCCTCAGTTTTTGGTATTTCTAAGTTCGTGGAAATTGTTGTATAATTTTTCTGTTATTTTGAAAAAGTTAGTCTGATTTCTTTGTTAAGGAAGGCGGAGGGAATGAATTTTGAAGGGGATTGATTTTGGAAAATAATTAAGTATTAAGGAGAGCCTAAATGGGGCAGTTTTTATTTCTGTGTATTTCTAATAGGACTTGCTAATTTGTTTTAGTTGAATTTAATGGATAATATGAATTTCACTCTCTCACTATTTGTTTTGGATATTGAAACTGTACTGTTGTACCTGTGACTGACTTTCCGGTACAGATTTGCCTTTTTCAGATAATGTTTCCTATTAATAGTTATAGCTGTGATGGAAGACATCTGCAAGGGACAAAATCCATTTAGTTAATAGCTAAGATGAGACTTTGTCATCAAAGATTTTTGGTATTCGAAAATGTGTGGTAGGTTGAAGCATATGTTGAGCTACGAGTAACTGGATATTGTTTATCTGTTATTGCTTTATATATGTTGATTGGTGTTTATCAAAATTATAAGCACAATGATTATACTGTTTATCATAAGCACAATGATTATGCTATTTATCGCAACATGTTTCAATTAGATAACTAATTCTGTTTGGAATTCCAAACAGAATTAGAATTAGTTATCTAATTGAAACATGTTGCGATAAATTTTGCAGTGTCGAAAGTTGTCTTTAAGGTGCTTGCAGCTGTTTGGAAATTTAATGATGCTTAATGAAAAGTTTGTTAAATGTAAAACTGCAGCATTTAGCAGATTTGTTATGTCATTAGGACTGTATAGAAACTATTTGGTATGATTAATTCATTCATCAGAGAAATAACCAAGAATTGGGTACAGTGCATGTTTTAGAGTCAGGAATACAGTTAGTTTAACCTTGAACAAGTAAAAAATGTGCTGTTAACTGCTTTTAAAACAAAGTTTTCTTTTTTCTTGAGGAAAGTAAAGGCGTGATTGATTTATTGTTTTTAACTCACTTGTTAAAGCTTTTTATTGAAGTTAGATCTTGTGATGAGTCTTGATGAAAAGAACAATGCTTGCGTATACTTGAACTTTTTGCGTACTACGCAAGACAAATTCTGCATATTATACGTTTATTCCATTTGGCGGCGATTCTATTAGTTATAGTTCTATTTTTATGCCCTTGATGTGTTGGGGGTAATTTGGATGAAGGAAATTCAGCTAACTCGAAATTGACAGATTGCCGATTTGTTACACTTATAAACAAGGAATCTATACATTGCAGTCAACTGTACACGTTATTATCCCCTCTTGTTTTGTGATGACTTGTTTACGAAAGTGTAGTACTGGGACTGATAGATAACTACAATATTTGTATATCGCAAATTACTTCTCAAATGTGATCAAATGCAAACAAAATCTTTTTATTAGTATAACAGAAGAGCTAAAAAGAAATTGCAAAACAATAAATGCATACACAATATGTAATAAAAAATGAAATGCAAAATCTTGAGAAAGCGTATTATGGATTCAAGGATTACATGAATGATTCAAAATACGTGAAGGCAAATAGTCTCGAGAAGAGCTCAAAACTGAATGAATCAATAAGTTTTATCTGTTACTGAGTGTTTTACTCATTAACGTAAAAAAAAAAAGAAAAACTTGTCATTTTCTGAAAATTATATATCCGTCTTCGAATATTTCTCCTTTTTCACTTGTTAAAAATAACAACCAGACTTAAGTGATCGCAATTATGTGCGATCGAATAAATATTGCTTTGCTTTTACAGAAATCAAAAATGAATGGTTTTAGAATATCTTTCTGATCAGTTCTGAAACTTTTTCTACTTGTCTTATATTTATTTACCAGTAAGTCAATCAATTAATCAGGCAATTTACGTATCTCTCAATCAATCTACTTATTTATGTATAATACGGAAAAATCAGAGTTAACGAGGAAGGCTCAATGAAAGCTTACAAATTGGATGATACTGGTTTTCTTATTTTCATACTAACTTAAATCTCACTTCGTAAGATAATACTTCATCCCTTCTAATAATAAACTGACTTTTGTAATGTGCTACGAAATATAATACAAAGATTTAGTCGGATCACTTGTGATTTTTTTTTCGGCACTATGACCGTAACCTAAATGCATCAATAAGTGAGATATAAGTTAGTATTAAAATTTTCAGAATTTCTGAATGTAAAAAACCTGATAAAGAAGAAACGTTTGTCAACTGATCAGAACCCGAAAACTCGAAATAGATTCCTGCTCAATAGCGATTTTGAATATTGCATATGGAATATGTTGTAGAAGATGATTTGAAAACATTTATTAATACACTACAGCAAATTAGCGTCACACAGCAAATTATTATTAGAATGGACTAGTGCACAAATTAACACAAATACTAAACGCTTGCAAATCAGATAAAGGCGCAACAATATCAAATAAAGGATAAAAGTTTGTGTAAGTAATACAGAAGGATAAAAAATCTCTTTGCTCTACCAACCACTTTCTTCTTTGACCTTT